TAATTATTCTTTGCAATTAATTGTGACTATGATAGCATCATTCTAAATTATTATTATTGCACTAATGTTTATACTAATACCCCGTTTCACTCTGTATATTGTTACATAAATCTACACGTATTTATCCGTAAGGGTTTATTATTATTTTAAAATTATTCGTTCATCTCAAAATTCTATATCCATTACACTATTATGATCATGGTTGAACCCTTTCACTATGTGTTCATTTTTTTTCTCTCTCCCTTTTTTTCCTTCTAAATAAATATTATCCTTAAGATTACGAAGCTTTGGATTAAGACAATAACTTGAGTTACGTTGAATTCAACTTATCAGACTCGTTTTATCTTCACTATGTATATACACCTCATACATATTGATTATCTTTTGAACTTAATTGAGACTTTCATAGCATTACCCAAAACTATGTCTGCACGAACAAACACTTATTCTAACGTCATATCTTACTGCAATAATAAGTTATTTACTTATCAACTTATTCTGTTTTATTTTATTACTCGCTTTGCTATACATACATAGTTGTTTATTCTTGTTCTGCGTTAAGATATTTACGTATTCCGCGTCTCCTTTATTTCTATTTCCTTAGTTTCTTCCTTTCCTTCTTCAAAATTCTTGCTAATTACACAGAACCTGATTTATTATTACTATTCTATTATTAATATTTTATTTTCCTCCCTTTCTCAAACATGGCATATGTAATGTTAACATTATTGAAAATTGTGTATTATTGCATTTTTTGAAGAAACCCGAAATGGTTTCTTCACAGCACTTATGTACCCATAAGGTGTTTGTGAATAATAATAGAGAATTATTAGCCTTATTCACGAGAGATACTATCTAATATATCCTAGTAAAAAAACTTCCGGGATCTAATAATGGACTATTATTCTATATATACTCTTAGTGTTCAACTATTCAGTAATTAGATTGTGTAAATATATATTCATCTTATTATAAGCTTCATTTTAACCCATGGATTATTATTATACCAATTACGGTTCCTAATTTATACTCGGTTTATTGATTACTGTCTCCCACGTTCACAGCCACATCTGGTTTGATCTTGTACAAATATTATTTTCTATTTTGTGGTGTGATGCTGTCTGTCTGTCTGGTATATAAACCGATGTGACAACTTGTCTCTGTGTGCACTGTTAATGTATGACTTGGTGATACCACCAAATAGAAAACAATGAATTATCTATCAGATCAATGACACACGAAACCGTACGAGCAGTTTAGAGTACTTGTCCGTCCTGCTTTCTGCCTAGCCCAGCCAGTTACGATCAGATCTCCAATAAAAACCTCTGCAATATGAATCATTTATTTCAAACATACTGGATTTAAATACCACACAGACTGACCACATCGTACCATAAAGCTGAGAATGACATCTATACAAGATTCAGCTAAATATGGCTGTGAATAGGAGGAACAGTAACTAATAGACTGGGTATAACTCAGGAATGGTAAATCGTACAGTATTACTCTATGGGTCAAAATAAAACCCATAATAAAAGAAACATGAATATGAGTAGTTAAGTTACTTAACAATTATACCTTAAAAATATATGTATCACATTGGTCCATAAATAGTTCCCAAAAATACCATTCATAATTCTTTTCGGAATTTATCAACTGGGTATGCTTGAAATAAACGATTCGCATAGCAGAAGCTGTAACTGGTGTTCTGGACTCAACTGGAGGGGCTAGGCAGACAAAGGACCAATAAGGACACTAGGTTGCTCAAACCGGTCGAACGTCATCGATTTAGCACAGTGTTAAGATTGGATAAGTCGTATTTGGATTGACCGATAATTGAAGTGATAAAAATCCGGACCTAAAACCACAACACTATCCATTTCATCGTTATCGAAAAACTATCTCATGAGAGTGGAATTCATTAATCACTCAGTTGTTGCTTGAAGTGCAACTGACAAAAGCTGCTGATTCACATGGTCTACCCTAGACCAAACTGTGAGGTGAATGAGAGACATTAACAATAATATATTTCTATAAGGGCAGGTACACGCCATTTTTGTGGGAATGATCTACAAGTTACAACTTTTACTGGTTCACAGTATGCATCCTAAGCAGGGTTGTTAAGCAAATATAGTCTATAAAATTGAATGTCAGTTCATTCGTTCAGATACACTGTGTAGTCTTCAAAATATCTTTCAAAGTGTCATCGTGTCCACGTTACACACCAGATTCAGTCTCAGAAAAGTTATGTTAGGATTTTGACCGTGCTAAGTATTTATGTTTGTTTAGGCTTAGAATGAATGATTGCAGCTGCTTTATGTTCACTCTTGTTCTTAGGACTGGTAGCAGTATGCAGCGTGCCTCCGTTTTTGGGACGGGTAGGGTTTGGTGTTTTAGGAATCGTGCAATTGCCAAAGTTGTAACTGCCACTGTAAGTATCAACCTCTAGATCCAACTACGTTTGGGCTGTTGAATAACTGACGAGTAAAAGTAAAGACACGCGCACCACAATCGAAATCAGAACAAGATGATTGGGGTAATAACGGTCCTAAAATTCATCATATATACAAATGTACAAATTTACCTAAACAAATATTACCACACAGTTATTCAAACAACAATTGATCCTAAAATAATCAATCTAGATTACAATAAATAGCAAAGTGATAAGAAATATATGAAAACTACCGAACGTTTCAAAAAATAAGTGCTATTCTATCCTTCCTGGATAGATCAAGTAAAAAAGGCGTTCTAAATGTTGCTTTATAACACAAAGTGTTTCAAATTCTGGGACAGTGCTCCGATTAACAACCAAAATGCACGATCCCAGTCAAATCAAGCAACACGGTCAAAGATGGAACAATCAATATGGCAGCCGCCAGAATAACATCAATTAAAACAAATTAGATACAGTTCAGGAAGAAACATAGAAACTCAATGAAAGCGATAGAAAAACTGAGAAAACTATTACAAAAATTAAACATTACAGTCTCAACCGGCATCAAAAGGATTAACAATATGTACAAATAAACTGTTAGGAAGAAGTTGCAAAGGTATACATGGAGGGGTTTTCACATTCAAAATGGATATTACAGCCACTACTACGTATGCTAGGTTGATTGTTTTGCAATCCATTGAAGATTCGACGCTGGATACCGGTCCTGTCGTGGGTGATTCTAATATTTTTTAAAATGCTGGGATATACCTCAGTAATGACTGACTATGAAGGAAATGATTGGCTTCTGTGATACTACGAAATTGTTGTGTATGTGGTCAACCGCACTGTCGAAATACTGCTCACAACATATGATGGTTGGACTGCTAAATGATGTCGACTGACACGGTATGCGACTACTCTTATTTACATCTACAAGCGAGATGCAAGGTAGAGATATGCCATGGCCAAGATATTTTGCACATGCTATGGTTATTACGGGATGATTTTGACCCCTTCCTATACGTTGATCAACGATTGCAACCAGTCAGATACGATTGCATCCAGTTCCCAGATTTTAGCTAAAATATTAGTCAACCTGATCGCCAAAACTGAACCACTATGCTTAAAGACCTCTGGAGTCAATACATCTGCTCTTCCTCGTTTCAGATTAGCTATGGCCTTATGAACTTCAGCTAGAGTCGGGGGACCTACTTCAATGTACCATTCAGGCTGTTTGGGAATAGTGGGTAACTCTAGAATAGCTGAAGGCCAGCTGAACTGTGCTCTAAAGTGTTCCGCCCATCGTTCTAAGTGTCTGGGCTCGTATCAGAGAATGGTCGGAGTCTAAAAATGTATTCCAGGAGACCTGCTGGCTGATTTGACATAGACCACGTACGTGGAAGGCTCCAATATGTAGTTTGTAGCGAGGCTTCAGTAGACCTGGGATTGCATTTCGCTCACTAGAATCGTTAGCAATGGTGACACATGAAGAGGAAGTTTGGTGGTAGGAGGACTAATAGGAATTGAAGAAGGGAACTGATTACGAATACAGTGGTCTTGAGTGCTGCCTACCCCGTGGAAGGGATTTTGTATAGGTACCTGAAAAGGAAATTAGGTTAGAGTTGGTCTTACTGACCCGAAAGCGTAACCGTAGTGCCCAAGGAGAAAGCGCTTGGGCCCGTCACACATGATCTGTTTGTGGGCATTTCTGTGTTAGCTCCGTATTGGTTGGGACCTTACTGCCGGAGACGGATATCAGTGGGATAAGGCGAGGTGTGTATTTCTAGGGTCGAACTTTTCTAACACCAACCCTCCTTGTGGGAAGGCAGCATCGCTGTTATACTGGTTGTTTGAGGGAAACCCTTTACTGCTGTCACACTTCCGTACAGTCAGCAGTACGACTTCGCCCCAGCACTTTGAGTTTGCTGCTTTTAGTGTCACCGCTCTTCAACCGACCTGTCTGGCGTGGTAGAACCTTGAGGAACGAATGTTCCAGCCAGTATGTCCCAATAAGTTCATCACGATAGGCAATTCGGACCACCACATCAAGATAGCCGTAACGGTCGGGCAAAGATATTTCACAGTAGTCTATTACCTGAAATTTTACGCTGATCAATATATTAAGAACTTTTATTCATGAAAGTGTTCAGTTTGCGATCTTGTTTGTAACAGGCTGATAAACATTCAAAACAATTTTTTCGTTTGTCATCAAGTTTAACAGTCAACTGTTCACTATCGCTTTCTTTTAATTGAGCACTTTCTTTATCTTGGCGAAAAAACTTAAGTAATTTTGTTTATCCTCATAATTTACAAAATCCACTTATTACTACTTTCTCTTATGTAGGTGAACAATAACGGTGACCATAGGAAAAGCAAATGAACTGGGGGCTAATTTGCACTTAACTTATTGTATGCGGTCTTTTCATTATTGTATTACAAGATTGTTTTCAATACAAATATACTTGATTGGCAATCAAATATGTATTTTCTAGGTGACTCCGGTGTAAGAAAGTTTTTGCTTTTAGGGTTTTGCGTCGTACTAACTTATTTATAGAAGAGTATTGATTACAACACAATAAATATATTTAAACATAAAACATAAAAGCCATAAAATCAAATGGTTTAAAATGTTACAGAGCAGAACGTTTGATTAGGAGGATAACATGAAGGCACAAGAATCATTTTGTTAAGAAAACAGTGATTGCAGTGTGTACAGAGCAGCATGAAGGGTGACGTGTTACGTATATGTATCTACAAAGTATTGCTGAACTCTGATCATGTAATCATATTGCCATGAACTCGAAAGCGATAAATACATGTATATTTGGGATGTCCGTGATTACTCAGTATGACAAGTTCGACAAATTGGACAGATTTTGAATATTCCTAAGGAAACAAATAAACAATTATTTACATCGCATATATGATGCACAGTAATCGTATTGACTTAATGGTACGTATTTTGTCTGAGAGTTGAATGTCTGGTTCAGAAAAGTTATTGAATACCCTTTGTACAAATGTCTAGTTCTTATTACCACGTAACTCCGTAATAATCTGACTTAAGGGTAATTTCACTCCTACTCTGTATGATTCCATGCAAGAATTGTATATAAATAATTTGAATTGATGTATTCCGACAGTCTGACCGATCTAATATAATCATTTTGACTTCACCTATATACCTTACAAGTTTATCTCTTAGTTAACAGTGACACGAGAAGGTTTGGTCGTCTCAAAAGAGTATTGTTCATCGATTGAGTCCTCCACAAGAATTCAGTACTTTTTGTATTATTTTGGAGTGTGAGTTTGAGATGGGTGTGGGAGAAAATGAAATACTCAATTAGCCATACAATTGTCCTTAGAATCAGCCAACTTATACACGTATGACTGCTTTTAATCTCAATAACCTTCGTTAAATCTACTGATCGATCATACATATAAATAGCCGCACTAGTTCATACTATATCTTTCCACCCGACCCAAATTAATGAACGCATAACATTCTTTTGTTAAGCTTATTCATTGTCTGACAAAGAAATCTTTGTTATCCGCCAATTCGAAGTATAAGACAAAGGGAATACCCCAAGAATGATAGAATGGATGACAATGAAAAGTGAAGGTAATAGTAGGGTTAATTCTTGGCATAATGTGATGATAACCCGATTGCCTACAATCGACGTAGAATATTTTGATAGTGTCAAAGTAACAGGAAATTGATTAGGCGGATTCACCAGTCCAATTCAAAACAAAGTTTGATTCCCTAAATTCCTATACACTTGTTGTAAATACATTTTAGAAAGAATAATTTTGACTCTTTCTTAGCATTTGAATTCGAAATTAATTTAGTGTTATTGCATCAAACATAAAACTTGTAACCTTTTAGCTTGCTTATCATCATGGTATATATGTTTTGAAGACTAACACAGTAAGCTGTTAAGGCAGACTAAAATTGGTTTCTCTACATTCTAAGGTCAATGAGTCTAAATATATCTATATACTTTAATAACAAGGATATTAGCTTTATTCATCACTATTTTCATCCCCGACTTATTTACGGTAGCTAATACTATTAAATGATGCAAATTGGATTACCAACGGTCATTGGGCAGCATTTTCGTTTTACAAACAATGAGCATTCTTGATTCGAGCCTCTCTTTATGGCGAACAAAACTCCCAGTCAAAAATGTCCATTAAATCAATTACTTAAGTATTCTTTTAAATCTTTTTTAAATATCCATTAAAGCTTATAGAAATACGTGATATGTGACTGTAAGTTTCATGTCTTACATGATAAGTAATGAAACTTACTTTTACAGGAAAATTTTGTATGGGTTTACTATTCACATCATAGGTAAATTCTCCCAAAACTATCCCATCATCATATTCTGTTTGAAGTGCCTAAAATCGTGAAATAACAAATCAGTGTTTACACAGCGTTCGCTAATAATTATTTTTGAGGTAAAATACGAAATAAGAAGAAACATCGAATGAAAATAACAAAGGTGGAAACCAGTAAACATCCCCTGATAAACAGTTGACCAGAATTTAGTACGAATACTCTTTACTAAAAGAATAATCACTGCGAAATTTACTTTTCTTAACGTAACTGGCCTCGAGAGAACACTTACATTTATTTTTGGATCATGAAGGTTATCGATCATCAGTAGACCGGTCAAGTGATGAGAAAATGATATTGTAATAACACTACACACATTGAACTTCGGTTTTCTTGATATTAGACATATTTATTATCCATGCAAAGAAAAAATAATTCACAAGATGATATAAAATGGATGGAATATGGCTAGCAGTGGAATCAAGGTCGCGGGTTTTGTCTTATTCGGGACTCGTCAGCTTGGGTTTACCTACATACCAGACTTGGTGTTCACTCCGAGCGAGTCTCTCAAAATGCTTATATCTCAACCAACATTGATCAGATTTCAGTCAAAAATGACGACGGGATAATCTTAACCATTTTAAATCGAATTATAAATCAGAAAATATGTACACCTTAGCATAAAAACCGGAACGATACAGATAGACTATTGTCCTCACTCTTACAATTATCCATTTCATTAATTTAAAATAAACTTAGTCATTAAATCGCTGATGTATCAACGGGAAAAATACATCAACTGTGTGGATTCACTCACCTTCACAAGAAAATCCCTCGGAGCTGAGTCCAGTCTACCATTTGGCGCGAGTTCCCTTGGTAAGTGTTCTAAAGTCACTGAACTGATAATAATTGGAGACGATAGACGAATGATAGCTTGACCCTTACTTCCGTGAAATGGCCAACAGTCCCCAGGATTATTACCAGGTTGGAGGATTGTTCTGTAAACAAGTAATAAGAATAGTGATCATTCAAATTATGGCGCTAGACAACAATATCGACGTCTATTCCCAGTATGTTCATGACGTAAATGAAAATAAGTAAATATGTTGATGAAGGTAGAAAACAACATATTTATAGTTTTATTCAGTAGGAATTAAAAGGCGATCAAGGTTTCATGCTAGAAAACGCGTTGTACCTTAAAACTATAAGGATAGTGTGAATGCACAATTTTATCGAGATTATTCGACTGTTTTATCTGGGAAATGTTCCAAATAACAATTAAAACTGACATTACTCTGAAACATTAGAACGAAAAACAAAGTGTATCGTAAAAAACAAAATACACAGCTTACCGAGGAGAATTGCTAAGACGGGCTAAAGGCAAGCCAAAAATACTAAATAATGACGCGCCCTCTGTATATGTTTTTGTACAACGTGTGCCAACAATAGAACCTCCAGATGATTCTAAAGCATAATCTGTAAGACCGGTTCTATCAGCTGCAAATAGATGAAGAGCTTCATCAATCATTTTAGCTAAAGTTGCTTTGTTTTCAAGTGAGTGTGGAACCAATTCCGAATGACGATCTACGAAAAGAAAACAGAACCTCGAGATGAAGCTCTCATAGCAAGGTAATCACAACGCGAAAGCTTTTCCTCTTATTAAAAAATTGTCAGTTAGAAATATCTGATATTCATCCCTGACTTTACTTGGCAAATATATAAAGTCTCTGTTGAGTAGATGAACTCAAACGGCGATTGGTTGATACCTGCAAACAGATATCAAATTCCTAGCCCATATGTTATTTATATGCATTTGATCAGAACTGTTAAGTGTTTATTGTGAGTCTTCGGTCGAAGTGTGAGAAAACAGCTAAGTGGTTGGGTTTATAGGGCTAAGAAAATAAAATAACCGAACGATTAGGCATATATTTCTTATTGAGTTGAGTGCCGCTACAAAAGTATCTTCATTATTCGATTATTTTTGGAAGGCAAAATATTGAATTCTTAATGTGAATTTAGGAAATACCGTCATATAAAATGGAAGGTTTTCGATGAAAGACAGTATACTAATCTCAGTGGATACGAAAAATGTAATATATATTGTTAAGTCGGCTTACAGTAAACTCTATCAGAGCCTCCAGAGGCTCATAAAGAGACCCAACCAATCAGCGATTAATTACAAGCTATGCTACTAAAATAACGAGATCCTGATTAACTGTTTAACACACTGCTACTATGGAAACTCAAGGTCTCTTAATTACTATAAAACCCCTGTATTTTCTGTACATAAATGAATCCTGTAGTAAAGCGCTTCCCTCATACTTTGTGCCTTTTCTCTGGTCTTCAAGTTGCTGTATAGTTCTAGCTCGGGGATACGGGACTAGCTTAGGAAAGCGAATATAGCGTTCACAACCGGCCAGACGTAACAGTGGCGACGGAGATTTCGGCAAATAATAAAACAATTGTCGACGGGGATTCTGGTAGAAAGAAAGACAGCAATCGAGACGTGATTTTGGAATCAAACAAGCTGTAATAATTGCCGGCGAATTTTTGGAGCTATCATTATTATCAGTAGAAAAAAAATGACGATTTCTCTAGAACAGGCGCTGATAATATTAGAGCACCGGCAACAGCAGATTCTAGCCTTCCAGCAGCAACTATTTGAAAGAGTTTTGGACAAATTTTTCAATAAACAAAATGTTTCAGGAAATAAAGAATTTATTTGTAATGCAGATAATAGTGCAAATATGGCCGTCTCAGAAGAACGCCCAGTTGAGGGTTCAATTCCCTTCATATCTGATGAAAAAGGCAAAATGGATAAGTTGGCCGGTTCAGAGCAAGACAATATCTTGCTAAATGCACATGAAACAGTGACAGTATCAGATGTCAAAGAAAAAGAAGGTTCCGTAGACAAAGCCCTGAGCCCAGAGTCAAATGAAGCATATATATACTTGAATTGTATAACTATTAAGTAACTAGACTATTATATATGTCTTAAGCTCTCGATTAACTTATTAACTACTGTTACACGGTTTATCATTCATAATCTGTTGTTAGTTAGATATTTATAGTCTCCCTTACTAACAGCCACTTTTGTATTGATCGTTTATAATTGTTACTTTTCAATTTATTGCATGATATGGTCTCTTATATCAGTGTACGTACTACGTCTGCTCGAAATATAATGTAGTGGAGGCTGACATCTGGTCTGAAAGGCAGGACAGAGAGAAGCTGCAGGATCATGGACCGATAAGAACCTAGAAGCTGAATCAAGGTCACTAGTGCGTGTTGGATGTGTAATTGACCAATTCAGAGAGAGAAATTATGATTCTGATTGATGGCTTTTTCGTGATTTCGGTAAGCAATTACAAGTTATGATAACATGGGAAACGGAACTACACTGACCTATGCTCATTGCACACAGGAAGAAAAAGTGGATGGCTTAAGCACCGTCCCAATGGTTTTTCCCAATATATCGGTGGTATGTTGGAGGCAAAAGCTAAGAAACAATATATCCTTCACACAATCTCTATCAACAATCAAGGACATTGCGCGATAGTTGAATAAGATAAGCTTCAGAATGGATACACCTAGATATGTAACTCAGAACAGGTAACATAGTATTTTACAATGTCTGATATAGATAAAATGGAGATTTATACCCTTTGCAAAATGCACTCTGGTTCAGAAACAATTTAGTTTAGAAGTATTTTCCATCTGTAGTATTAGGTCAAAATCGACTACAAGTAAACTGGATGATCCACCACATATCTATTTAATTCTGATGGCAAGTGAAATATATTTTATCAAACAAGAATGTTAATAACTCCATTATTAGTAATTCATGAATATTTTGTGAGTGCATGTAACACCATTGTCCAGAACGATTCATATTTTCAAGTATAGTTACTTAAACAACTTTTAAAAAAAAGGAGTGAATGACAATAACCTCAAGTAATCAAGCGGAAAAATGTTTTGCTAATTTCATTAGGACACTAGAAAGACTTGTGATTGCTTTCATTCGTATATTACGGTGTACCACAAATAAAAGTTTGTGGTCCTGAGATTACTTGGCATGTGAAAAAAATTTTCTTCTCAGTATTGTGGACAATCCTTCTTCGGTTTGGGCACCCGGGCAGTATCACAGTCCTCACACAAATCAAACGAGATTTATGCGGCGCATATATACCTGGTGCTCCTTTGTACCAATATTTATGTTTCAATAAATAAATAAATTGTTTTATATCCAAACAGTAGAATGATTTAAGCGAGTGCGCTCAAAGATATACCATGAGAACTTCAAACAGACGACTAAACAAAAACAACAATGAACTTAATGATAAAATAATCGTATATTTATGATATTCTAATAAGTAGGAACTGAAGTTCTGACATTTCATAACTTAGTGTAAGCCATTTCAGAGTAGATAAATAAATAGTCAAGTCACAAAACGTCAGAAATTCACATTTCTACTAATTAGAATGTCACAAAGATGCCATTATTTTACCAATAACATTTTGTCCAATGCTCAGCTTACTTGAAATTACTCAGTAAAACTTTGGCATTGATACCAATAAAGAACTTACTGTAAATCAATTTATCAACGGATTCTTTTGCCAGCATAGATACAGTTTGTCTAAAGTAAGTGAAAAGGACACTATCACTGTCCCTTAATTCATTGATTATAGTCTATTTAAAAAAAAGGTTAGATATGAAGACAAGTATGGAGACGAAACCACATTCACTACTACAAAGACAAACATACATACTTACAGTTCAAATAAAACACTAGTGCTGTTTAAAAATCCTGCGACGAGTTATGCGCTTAAAAAGAATTATTAATAATAAATTATTTATCTGAGAATTATTGTTAAAAAAAAAATGTTTCGAAACTACCCTGAATTGTTTATTGTAATGGACTACTACACGATGTTGAAAAAAAATCGTGACAAGATAAAGAATTCAACCAAAAAAACCTGCATATCGAGTAAAGAGTTTAGTATTTTGAATTTCTTGTTTAAAATTGACTTTAATCTTTTCTTTTCTACCTATTAGAATGTCAGTTATAAACTTAAGATAACCACCTTCTTGTTTCTGTCTCCTTATTCCCATCTGAGAATGATTAGTCTCGATTGTACAAAAAATCTGTAATGCAATCACAGAACTTAACAATATACTCGAACATTTTACATTCTATGGTATCTATTTGAATAAGTGCCCCTTTGTTTCTTTGAATGAAGTGGGTGGATTTTGAAGCTAGTAAATTAAACCATTTGGAATAATTAAGCACTTTACAATGACTGTTTCCCTAATCATAAAAAAACAGACGGAACATGAGTTTTAACCTAGATGAAATTTTACCATTTACTTTCATTAGGTCGTTTAATTTTATTCATTTCCGCAACCATTTTAGTACATATTCAGAGATTCTAACTAACTAAATCATATTTACTCATCCTTATGATGTGTGGTCACAAATTGATAAGCAAAACAGGGTGTAATACAATCGTTTACATGCCGCTTCGGTTTTTGGTAAAGCACAAACCTTGTTGTTTCAACATAATGACTTTTGTTGCATGTTGCATTTTACCAACAACTAATTTGAGTTTTTATTTTAACACAAGACTATTTAACTCGCCTCTGAAGGTAGGGTGATATATACAGACATTTGGTACCAGATGTGTGATACTATACTAGAACTTCTCCATTGATTTATGAATTTTAAAAGATACCCATTCCTCACCAATGTTCTGTTTAATAGCCTTACCTTGTCTTCAATAGCATCGTTCGTACAAACACGATCAATCCTATTACAAAGGGCCCCTGTTTGTATTGAACTGAGCAGTAACTATGATGGAATGTTTGTCTTTACTTTGGCAGAACTGAAAACGCTAATTAACAAATCTATCTGAAAGACTGAAGATAAAGTTGGGTGATAGCACACCCTATATACTAATAATAGTTCACATCCAGAAAATAACCAGTCAAAAGAACGAACAAAATATGCCAATACAGTTTTTGCAAGTTACCGAGTTCTTGCCAAAACACCATCCGTTAAAACATAATATTACAAGGTAGTCTAGACATACTATATCAATGTAAACGTCAGAAAACAAAACAGTAAATATCTGCTGCTCAGGTAAGCGAGAAAAAATTGACAATAATCTTACCTCTTGGACGATTTCTTTAATTTGAGTTGAAAATGACTGAGAGAGATTAGTTATAGCAAAATTCATCTGTTCAATAGCTGCATCATGGCAATCCTTCTTAATTTCTTCAGCTCCTGAGCATTTTTTCAATTCTGTAAATAAACGTTTAATAATATTGAGCACCATGAGTTTAATATTTAAATATGTACGATATATTAGTACTGACTAGTTGGTCTGGATTAAAGAGAAAATGTAATATGTCTCATGATGTGAAGCTCTAAATATAATCAAAACGTTCTGTCCCAATCACCACAACACAATAATACTTTGAAGGCGAAAAATACCGCATAGTACTGATGATTAAGAAAAACAACTTATATTGATACAAAACATTTAAACACGTATTACGCGTAATAAGATCAGAAACTGTATATTCAAGGTTGTTTAACAGATGATAGAAGGCAAAGAAAGTAACAGCATTTTGGTATTAATGGATAGAAATGATGACTAAATACGTTTACTCCTAACCTTATAATTCCTTAGGTTTTAAATAAAATTAAATATCACTGAGTGTACGCTATTAAGGAGTTCTAAGTTAGGGAGATATATTAAATGACATACTGATTTTTTAGCAAATTTATAATAAAAAATTCATGCAGTTTTATTGAAAAATATCACATTTACATAAAAACTGATGCTTTAAAATACCTACCATCTTTAATGTATGTAAAAGTGGACTTAGATTCTTCACTCAACCTTTCTAAATCAGAGATGCGTAATGTTAATAAATTGATTTTATTTTGTAACTGAAGTAAATTGTTTTTAAAATCTATAAACTTCTTTGACCGATTACTATTTATAGTCAACTGCGAGTGTAGCCTGTGAAGCTAAAAGTATAAAAACATTGGTGGAAAACAAATTCAATTGAACGGAACACCAGATAAATAGCTGAATCGAGACATAAAAAAGGAAAAAAAATCCTGACAAGCCCTTTGAATATTCCAGTGAGGTTAAACAATCCTAGAGACAAGTATTTGAAAAATAGTTGAATGAAAATCGATCAAAGATTCATCCTTCATATATTTCGCAGAAAAGCATATATGAATTTTTATAATTATTTGGATGTATACACAACCACAAAACATTGAGTGTGAACACGATTTAAGTGCTAATCCCCATATGGGAACTCGTGAAACCAACACTTTTGTCCAGAAACATAGAAATTAAAACTCAAGATCGGGCAATCGTAATTTTATTGAAAATTTGGTTCTATGCTACCATATTTTCACCTGAGTGAGGCAAATCATGTTCCTATGGACGTGTAACAGTTGATAAACTTAGTACGAATAATTAACGTTAGTATATCTTTAACACTAAATGGCTATTTGCAGTGTAATGATGTATTTTGTTGGGGGGTTTCTTCAAGTTCGTAGCTTATGGAGTATCTTTATTTTAAACAAATGCTTGTCCTTTTTTAAACCCTAAAATAAAGTTCATTCCTTTCTCAATATAATACATTTTAGAGTAATAATGTGAAGTGTTTCTATGTATATTGGTATTAAACTATTGACAAAATGGAATTCTGAATAAATACAGTAAAATAAAATTAATTAACATACTGTCTTATTCAGATTACAATTTTACTGAACGGTAACCCTTTTAGTTAACAATCAAGCTTAAACTAATAGAATGAAATCAATCGAATCCTGGTGCTAGAACATAAGGTAAGAACCACCGATTGTTTTGAGATCTTTAATCTCACCTTCAATTATCATTTGACAAGTAAATCAGTCATACTATTTTGTTTGGATATTACGTACATCAGTAATAAAATTATGCCACTAAAATAGTCATATTTTCAATGAATAGTTCATTAGTTATATCTTTTGAAACCTGTGTTTGAAATTGAGGTTAGTCTCGTGATCCTATTATCAAATTTGGTTGTTTCAGTATTTATTGAGCTGTCATAATGTCTAGCACACATCTCATCTCAATAAATCAGTCCATAATGTACAGAAATGACAAAAAACCAACCTCCTTTTGAGTTTCTTTAGTACGTATACTTAACTGACTACGTAAACTATTCAACAGTATTGACATATTTTGAATACTCATATTTTTTTCCAGATCGGATTTTATAAGGTCTTGTAGGATTTTGGTACGTAGCTCATCCAACTGAATTGCAATACTATGATTAGCTGCTTCACTGGCTAACCTTAGTAAACGATCGCTTTCTATACGAAATGCTGCATTATGATCAGAGTTAAAATCTTTATTATCAGACAGACGCTCAGATGATCGAATGATATTATCTGACTGGTTATATTTCAGATAAAAATGATTCCATTCATTTATATGATGGTCAAATATATTTCTCATTTCAATAAGTTGCAGATTGAGCATATCCGATTTTCTGATAGAGTCTTCTTTTAAATTGGTTAAACGATCATCGGTAACTTTAATTGTCCTATAGAAAACAAAAAAATTGAAGAATGACATTTCATTACTGAGAAATTCATCAAAATATTTAGTCTATTTTATTTATAACTTTTGGAATATATGGTATTAGACAGGAAGATTTACTTCGATCAAAAATAAGCTATAGAACCACTGAAAAATCAGAGAATGACTATCAGGTTGTGAATTTTTGTATCTTGTTAACATAAACCGCATAAACTAAAATGTCTAAAGAAAGAACAACCGATATTCTAGTCGTCAATGCCAATAGCGAAAATCTACAGTTTAGAATATTGCAATTAGACTGGTAACGCAATGGTGAAAATTTACGCTGAGAAGTTTGATGCGATGAGGTCCATCATAAAGCTTACATTTTTATTTCTTCAAAAATGTTAACTTTCAGTTAGTGATAATAAATGCGGCGGAGACCACAGAGAGGTATGGTAAACACGTTTAGCGCTGAACTTAAGATAAATCTACTATTCTGTAACATGACAAATCAAATGTACAATATTTTTTGCCAAAACATCTATACAAATTTAGGTTGGAGGACGACGAAATTATGTATTAAGGAAGATATAGAATCCGACGTGTAATAAGCACATAAGGAATCTTCAGTCAACTAGTAATTAGTGCAATTGTCATGCTGATAATATCAAATAATTTCATATTTATATCGGGTAATAACCAGCATATTTACTTTGGATATGATCATAAACAAATTAAAGGGTCAGCTGAGTAGAATTTTTGCAGACTAAATAATCAATAACTGAAACAAATAAATATTATACAACTCACTGTGACAGTACGTCCAAGCGCTTGTTAACCGATTGAGAAAGTGATATCAACTCCTCAATAACTTTATTTATTGTTACATCATTCAGATTCCCTTTAGTAAAATGAAATATTGTAGATACAGATAAAAATGGAAAATGTAATAAAAATAAACTTTTAAACCATCTTCTTAAAAAAACAGAACAATCGATTGAATGATGGAATATATCTCATTGTAAAAGCAATATTCTAGGTGAATAAGATGCCATTTTGAAAAATCAAACATATCGAGTCTACTTAAAACACTCAAAGTATAGCTGTGTTAAAATGAACAAATGAAATGATAAATCAAAATTTTAATGTCAGAAACTTCGATAAAGGTGTGTCCATTTACTCCATTTATTATAATAATAAGTCACATATGCACATATGCCAATTAGAGACTGACCAGTTGCAGTCCTAAACACATCGATGGGAAGATCCAAACAAACGATACTAAGTGAATAAATCAAATTGTTTGTAAAAGTTGGGTCTTAAGCAACAACAATGCACCTTTTCCTCCTATAGGAATGTACAAAATGTCAAAGGTACATAGTACATATTTTTTATGCAGATTATTTTATTGAATATCTCTGAGCTAGAAATAGGAGTACAAGTAAACATTTGGACAAAGTCTAAAAATGAAATCTATAATATAGTCTACTTGTGAGCTTTTTGCTTTTATAAATATATATGCCCGAATACCTGGATCCAAATGGTACTTGAAAGTAAACTTTTACATAAAAGCAAGTTGTCGACAAGCAAACTATATTTCATCGTTATATCCAGTAAACGACATTGAATTAGTCAAGTTCGATTTGCCTAAAGAGATAAGAATTGATAACCAGTTATCTTATAATTTACTCATCTGAAAATATATTTATTACAGTTAATAAGATGAGGGTTTTTGATATTACATTAAGGTATCAAATATCATGAAATCATCTTTAATAAATTTTTCCTAAAAATTAAGAAAAGTTAAGAGCAAGGTCGAAGACGCGTTCAATATTTCATGTCACCAAATATTAACACATCTTAAGCTGTTCAACATTTCGTTGATGAGACGGATCATTGAAAGACACTTCGTGTAACAAATACATTAGCAAATGCACATTTCGTCGATTATCATCTACAAAAAACTACGTTAATCTGAATTATTCCAGTAATATGACGGGGTATAAAGGCACAATTATATTTTCAATTCATTACAGTACTGTATTGTATATACAGTATTGTATATATACGCAAGTGGTGAGAGGAGAAATTTCATTCCTAATATAATGTCTCCTGTCGGTGAATTTTTAAGAAAACATACAATTTTTAATATATGATATGAATCATATATGTCACATCATGTATAAAACGAAGATGAAATAATGGCTTTAGATATTATATATAATCTCTTAGACTCTGACAATTAACTTAAACAACGCTGTCCTCTAGTTACGTCGGATATTATTAAAGCATTAGATCTATGTTTACATTCAACTGTATTCAGTTTTCAAGATTTGTACAGAAAAAAGGGTGTAGCTATGGGTTTCCTCAATTGTTGCTAAACTATTCATGCATTCATTGGGAACTAGTGCAATCTCAATGTGTTCTCATCCACCAAAAGTTTAGTTAAGATACACTGGTGATACTTTTGTCATTATAAAACGGTATCGTTTAGACGAACTTATTAAACATGTCAACAACTTTGATGAAAAAATCACGTTCACCAAGGAGTTGGAATCTCCTGAACACAAATTACCTTTTCTGGACAGTTTAGTTGAAAGATAAATATTTTTAAAAATTAGTATTTTCCGAAAGCCGACATATTCAGGGAGATTTCTAGATTTTAAGTCGGCACATCCACATTCGACCAAAGTGACAGTGGCCAAAAATATGATCACAAGAACCCAAAAACTTGTCACTGAACCACACGATATAGAAATAGAAATGAATTTAATTACATCTACTCTAATGATAAACAATTATCTGAAGGATTTTATAAAAAGAATAATTAAGAATGGAAGAAAAAACAGCATTGATAATAAAAAGGAATGGGTTAACACAGTGGAGATCCCATGTCGTAAAGGTATTTCAGAAGACGTTAGAAGAATCCTGAATATTCAAAATATAAGAGTTTTTTTCGATCAAACAATACTCTAAGATCAAAACTGGTAAGAATTAAAGATCCAGTACACAAAGACGTACAACAGAATTTTGTCTATGAAATCAGATGTAGTGACTGTAATGCAACGTATGTATGTGAAACTTCAACTGAATGTGAAGATGAAGGAACACTAAAAATGATTAAAGCACATTCCTAAGTCCCCAGATGATGTAAGGAAACTTGAGAAAAAGTCAGCGATAGCATTACACTAGATAGGATCGGGTAATACAATTGATTTCGATAGCACAAGAATCCTTCAAAAAGCTTTCAATTCTTACAAGCAGAGACAAACAGCCGAAGCCCTATACATATGGGCTAGTTCAAACAGTATTAATAGGAGGGGGGTGGAATACAATTAGCTGTGCTATGGCAGCCAATCATTAATAAGTAAAAAAACTTGAACTCCTTTCCGTTTTATCTATCACGTATTATGCAAGTGACAGTTACATTCAATGATTCTAATCAGTTATCTTATCAGAATTCTTATATATACTTGAAATCATGAGTCAATTGAAGCTAGACCACCGTTTATTTATCTTTATTTTATACATGATGTGACATATATGATTTATATCATATATTAAAAATTGTATGTTTTCTTAAAAATTCACCGACAGGAGACATTATATTAGGAATGAAATTTCTCCTCTCACCACTTGCGTATATATACAATATGTTATCTTAACACAACACTTCACATCACAAGTCACTTACACACTAATACATATACCTAGTTTAGACATTTTTAACGCTGATTGGATGACCTATTCAGTATACAATGAACCGGAGAACCATGTACCTATTTAGATTCGATAATTTTGATGTTTGATTATATTTCCTTGAAGAAGCTTGGACTAGATTGCCAGACGAAACGTTGGATTTACTTCAAATTCATTCGCTGAGAGTTTACAAATGTATTATTCTTATTTAATGTCGAAAAGAGTAGTCGTCGTGTTTCGCGATTAATAAACCTTCACTTTTACCAGTTTTCCGGTTTCTTACTTTGGTGGTTCCTCGTTTAAGTACTAAGCGACGCGGATAGAACATCCAAATAATAGTTTTAAAAAAATAGCGAGTTACACATCCTGTATCATTAGTTTGTTTTTCTCAAGAAAATGACGATATATTATACTACATTGAAAAATTAAATCCTCTACAATCTTTTAAATAGAATAATAAGTGTAGTAATAAGTATAAAAACTGAGAAAGTAACTGTATGAATTTACCTGCATCAAAAATTATTTGATCAGTAGGTTTACTTGAACTGAAGAACGGAATCCATTGCCAGCGATCATTTTCTTTGTCAGATCTACTGTTATCCTCATCTAGCTCAGATGACAAAAAATAACGAACATAAAGACAACGTGCATTCCATTTAAATAAATTCCAAATATGAGTACTATCCGGGCGTGGCTCAGAAAGTTCATACGTACAATTAGAATCAGAGAAAAATGGAAACAATTTTAAAGATGAATTATTTGAAAGATCATCTGTAAAAAAGTGAATAAAAAAGAGTAGCTAATAATGAATTATAAATGAAGGTTTTAATCAAATCTTAAAATAATATCTATTAAAGTTCAACTATAAATGATTTCAATAAACAAAATGATAAAATATAAGGAGGAATGAAGTTGGTAATTCGATTTCAAGTTAGTAATCTTATTTCGATGAGAAACCTTAATTCATTGTACTGTGAAAAACCGAAACTTCAGTTTTAGGACAAAAATGGGCGACTCTTACTTATCGTGAGATTATTTGTGACGAAAGGAAATAGTTATTTTTTGATTGAAATTTGAACTATTTTCTACCAATTTCTATCATTCATACTCATATTTCCTTAAATTGCAGCATGAATGAGGTAAAAATTAATAGACGTCAAAACAAATTAAGTCATTTTACATCTATATCATACTTACCAGTTGGTGCAAACAAGAGGCTTAAAATTAGTAATAACGGGAATAAGATAAGAAACGGCAATAGTAAACGCAAGCAAAAATTCCAGATATTATTTCTCTGTACATAGAAACTAGAGAAAAAGTGAATAAAAAGAGCATGAAATTCATTAATGAGGAATCAAAGTACAAAAGAGAATACTTGAAACCATGTTGAGTGTGTATAGTATACAAGGTGTTGATATTTACCTGTTACGCACGAAAATGAACATTAGAAGATCGAAGCTTATGAAAACATATGATTGATAATCTTCTTTTTGAATAAACACTATGGTGACAACACAAATTTTTCAATTCCACTGTATCGAACAAAACTTGTTTTATGACGAAAAAAACAATTCCAAGTATTAGTACTACAACATAATCGCATGAACGGAGAATAATCTTTTCAATAATTTCTCGTCAGGTTCTACACTTATAAATCCAAATGAATAATCCATAAAAAATTGGCCAAGTTTAAATCAGAGTACATCATTTTAGAAACTGTAATATGTGAATCAATGAGTGTTTGTGATATAAAATAAAATCGTAAGATAAATGATCAGAATATATATAGTTGACATAGAGTGAGATAGAACAATGGGATTACAAATCAGAAATTACGCAATATGTAGAATAATATAAATTAGGTCAGATGTGGTAGATTGGGGGGGGGGTGGATGATAAATTTCTCTAAAAGGTTAGCAAGTTTGATAATAATAATAATAATAATAATAATAATAATAATAATAATAATGACTGATAAGATGTGTAGATCAACTAAGTTTAAGATATAAAAATGAACATTAATCAAATTAATGTCACCATATTACAAAATTGATTATTAACAAGTTGACCCTGAAGTTGGTCAGGGTAAAAGGAGCGGCTGGACATATTTCTTTTGGATGCAGAGCTCTGGCTTTTTGATCCGAATAGCAATTGCTTCAGCCGTCTGCAGGATTCTCAGTCTGACAGAATTAGGTAGACTGCTGTTAACACGATATATTATTGTGAAAGATTGCTCGATGTCGGCTCTATGTCCCGTCTGAACTAAATGAGCTAAAACAGAGCCGTTAACCGTTTTGACTACACCTTTGCTTAACCACACCGGGAGGTGTTCACGAGCCCGAGTATACAAATTCCTAGAACATCTGCTTATATAAATTGCTCCACAGAAGCAGTTGAATTGATAGATACAGAAAGAAGTGGCTAGTCTAGGCAATTTATCTTTCAACGTCGGCGTGGTCATTGGGCGTGTGGAAAACATTAGTTGTAGCTTACCTGCATTAAACGCCCTTTCGATTGATCTTCGTAGTATCAATCTTACCATTTCACTAGGTGCGTCACCTCTGAATTGTAGACGTATATACAGAGGCTTTTTATTCACAGTTAAACATTCTTTATGCTCTCTTCTACTAGTTATGTTTTTATTTATAAATTTCTCTGGGTATCCATTTTCTCTCATGGTCATATATAATGCTCTCGTTTCATCTTCGACGGTATCTTCAGAGCATATGGTCTTGATTCTATAGTGTAATATCTTAATTAGGTTCCTTTTGTACTGTAGAGGAACAAAACTAAGAAAGTTAGTATACTGACCCGTCCGCGATGTTTTCCTGTTTATATTTCTCCTTAATGAACCGTCTTTTCTCCTTGTAAGTAGAACATCTAGAAAAGCTAATCTACCTCCACTTTCCTCCCCACATGCGAATTTCCTAGACGGATGAGCTGTATTGAATAGCTGAAGTGTCTCCATTGAGTCAGTATAGTCGTTACATAGGATGAACGTGTTGTTGTTGAACGTTTTGCAGACGGCTGAAGCAATTGCTATTCGGATCAAAAAGCCAGAGCTCTGCATCCAAAAGAAATATGTCCAGCCGCTCCTTTTACCCTGACCAACTTCAGGGTCAACTTGTTAATAATCAATTTTGTAATATGGTGACATTAATTTGATTAATGTTCATTTTTATATCTTAAACTTAGTTGATCTACACATCTTATCAGTCATTATTATTATTATTATTATTATTATTATTATTATTATTATCAAACTTGCTAACCTTTTAGAGAAATTTATCATCCACCCCCCCCCCAATCTACCACATCTGACCTAATTTATATTATTCTACATATTGCGTAATTTCTGATTTGTAATCCCATTGTTCTATCTCACTCTATGTCAACTATATATATTCTGATCATTTATCTTACGATTTTATTTTATATCACAAACACTCATTGATTCACATATTACAGTTTCTAAAATGATGTACTCTGATTTAAACTTGGCCAATTTTTTATGGATTATTCATTTGGATTTATAAGTGTAGAACCTGACGAGAAATTATTGAAAAGATTATTCTCCGTTCATATAATTGTGCTTTGATATAATGGGAAGTTTCAGCGATTAAAATATTGTATTAGTACTACATAAAAACGAAATGCTGCGAAGAAAACGATTCTGCTATTTTGAAAACGACGAAATAATATTGAAAAGGAACTGCAAAAACATTAATGTTTAGAGTTGTAAAGTTTCCAGAAAATATATGCACATACAAAACGTATTCTACAGTAGTGTACATTTATTAATACAAAAAATTACATAGAGATCTGTCCATTGAGTATACCATAAACTTAGTTATCAGTCATTTTATTAGTTCATCAAACCAATTTCTTCATCATAACAGATGTATCAACGCCATTATTAAACGCTCATAGCTTAAACCAATATTAGTCAATACCTACAGATATAAGAATCAATAAGGGGTCAGTGTAGCCTATCATAAACAGAATACTGGTTGTAGAAACATATCAGCTCTCCCAAAAATGTTTAGCTGAGACATAACATGAATCTTCTTTTAATCAGTTGCAATTTGAATGAAATTACCAAACCAATCAAAAGTTTAGTTATGGAAAATTGGCTCCAAGTGTATTAACATTTACCTAAAAGCTGCTTATTACATCAAATTAAGGATTTTTTTCAAAAATAAAGGTTGAACTTTATTCGATTTCATTTTCCATACACTCTAATTCGCATTATCTTATATCAATAAATATCAAGAGTTACTTCTCGAAAAAGTTTTGTACTAGCAAGTCAACTTGCTACAAAACTACTCATAAAAAGGTTGTGTGTGACCGACCTCAAGCAGTTGTCCTTTGGACGCAGCGGTCACATTCTCAGGTCACTAAGACCACTTCTAATCCGAATTCTTTTTCGGGTACCTCCAGAAGAACTCTTCCACAGTGTGGGCAACCGGGAAACGATAACCATCCTCATACCTCTAACAGCATTCAAGATCGTTGTAGCTGACTGACTAACATTTTCTCAAATCAAAGTATAGATGTTATAATAAACAAATTAAGTCCAAGAATTATTAAAAGTAAGAATATGATAAAATGAATATAATAAGACAAGTTTACCTTGATGAACCTGTGGAATTTTGAAATCTCAATAAATCAGTACGTAATCTTGAGTGGTGTTTCAGAGACATAGCTGAAGAATTATCATTTCCACTAAATAATTTTCCAAACAGCCAATCGAATAATCGTGGTAAGCAACTGAGGGTATACAGAAAAATATTTCCAACAGCATAAATGAAGGCCATTAAAAACGCTAAAAAGTGAATAGACATATTCCGCAGACTGTTTAAAACAGATTGGGTGTAAAAACATAATCTTGATCGGCGTAAAAGAAAGCCAGAACGAAATGAGTTCGAATCAGGTAGATTAAAATGAACTACTGTTTTGTTTCGATTGGTAAGACTTTTAGTTTTATGATACGAAATATTAGCATCATAGTTATCCTCTATATCACTAGACAGAAATTGATTGTCTGTATTCCTTGATTCAAAATTAGGATCTTCAGTAGTATCTCTTTCCAAACCTAAAGTGTAAAAAATATCTTTTCTTCACGAGAAAATAAATATTACACGTGCTTAAAAGCTAGAAATTCGGATCGAGCATTAAATATAAGTTTAAAAATGGTTAGTATACACACGATTACGTGAAAAAACTAGGAAAAAAAAGGTAGTGCATCTCACTCAAGTCGATCAACATATATATAACCAACGGAGTACCTTATTATAATGAAAATAAAATTTTACGAAACTGGACCAAACTTTACAACCATCCATCGGATTATTTTTTATGCGCTGCTTGACATTTAGAATTCGTACACGGCTGATTTTCGTCTTCGCTTGTTTTTTATTTAAGACTATGAGAGGTAGTTGTCAAGTACACAGAAATATGACAAGTTATTTGAAATTTCAATCAGATTTTTACCACATCTAACTGACAGCACGGCTCGTTAAGTAGTTGCAACAGAACGAAAGAAACCCAATTCACCAATCACTCGTAGGCTTTTGATTTTTTCAGTGAGGGGCAGATACGAATTATTGCAGGACAGAAAGTTTAACTAAGATATTTTATCAAAACAGGAATTTACATTATTTATTGATGAACAACGTTTCAAGTGAGAGGTGGTTGGTGAGACTGAGGATAGTTCAATCGAATTTCTTTTAGACAGCTCAGATTATCAAAATACGGAAAATATCTCATAGAACACGAGGCCAAAATAAGACAGAGAAACAGCCATCCTGAGCTTAAATATTACCTTCGATGCACAATGTTTTTTATTACTGGTGATGCTGTTATTATCTCTACTAATAGGATTTCACCTGAAAATTTCATCTGTCTATGACATTGGGGTTTCGCAACTTGAACCGATGTACATACACACCAAGTTCTACATTGAGACTGACTGACTGTAGCTTAATGGAAAAAAGTTTTTGAAATGTAGAAATATTTCAAACTTTATATATACTTATTAGCTATAACACTGATAGTCCTAATTCTGTTTAGAGTCTTTTCAAGGATTACCTCTCTGATATAAGATCAAATAACTAGATTTGCAGAATATTTCCACCGAAAATACAGACCCAAGTAATTCAGAAAATAACTAAGTACAGGTTTAATTTAACAAACACCGAGAAACACTATTTGTGTGAGGTAAAGACAAACTCATTCAAGACTGGATCAAAAGTGGTAAAACGAAGTTTTACTCTGTAAACCAGTGGTTGAAAACAAGGTTTTAAAATACTCATTATCATGTATCATCGGTACATTAGCATTCTCACCGTGACTAGCATATTTTCTCTTAGAAATAGTTATTTTGTACATTGTATGACTTGAAAAATAATACCATAAAGGAGAAAAAGAGAAACTTAGCAACCAAAATGAATTGGATAGGTATCCATTATACTTGAGTTACAATTATGTTAAATCCCGATAACAATAGTGAATGGTAACTTTGGCATCCATGTATAGACCAATTTTTGGCATATATTTTTTACCATATAATTGCAAAATAATTAAACTATTCATATCCATGTTACCCTTATTATAAGCTTTATTTTGACCTATAGACTATTATTATACGACTTACCATTCTTGAGTTATCTCTAGACTACAAATTGCTGCCTCCCACTTTCACAGCCACATTTGGCTGAATCTTGTACAAATGTTATTTCCTAGTTTATTGGTACGATGTGGTCAGTCTGTTTGGTATATAAACTTAGTATGTCTGAAATACAGTGATTCATACCACAGAGGCTGTTATTTGTGTTCTGGACTTAACTGCCTGGGCTAGGCAGAAAGCAGGACCGATACATACTCTAGACTGCTCGAATGGTTTTTGTGTCAAAGTTCCAACCGATAATTCGCCTCTCTCTGATTGTCAGTCAGTCACAACGTAGAACTTCGTACGTACGTACATCAGTGCGAGTTGCCATACCACATTAACACAGAGATGCAGTTGTCGATTCAAATCCCATAGTGGTAGAAGTAGTAGGAGTATAATCAGAAATCCAAAAGATTAGGGTTTGAAGAAATTATTGAAGGAGTATAGTACAGTGAAATAAATTTGGAGAGAGAAAGGAGATAGGGACGTGAGGAATTTAAAAGATTAGAATTTGGCAGAAAACAAAGAATGGATGCACCTTCGTCATTGCAAACGATTTTGAGTCATGTCATTCAAGGTCTCTAACCATCGGTTGCTATCATCTCGCGAATCCCAACCAGGTAGTCTACACCTACCAACATGGCCCAGTCCACTTGTCAGTGACTTCATGCATTTATGCCATGTTTTGGTCTGGCAGCCCCTAGCTTTCTTCCAACCTACGCCTACACCATAAAACATTGCACATTGGGCAGTTGGTGGTTGGGCATACGTAGCACGTGTCTCAGCCATCTCAACTGATGAAGTTTGACTACTTCATCAATCGATTTGCCATCATTACTTAGTACCCGTATCCTAACGACTGCATTACTTACCCGGTGGTTCCAGGATATACGAGCAATGCTTCGAAGACACTTATGATCGAAAACTAGTAGCCTACGAATATCCTCTACTCTTATCGGCCATGTTTCACTGCCATAAAATATCACGGAACGAACTGCTGCACAGTAAACCCGTTCTTTGGTTGCTAGTCGGATATCTCGCCTACGCCATAAATGACGCTGAGATTTCGTCACACACCAGACCACAAGGGCTGATGAGACTCCCAAGATAAGTGAACGGTCGACACGCTCAACTACTTCACTCCCTATCATTAGTTTAGGTGTCGCTGCAACCCAATCCTGAAGTACCATTGTGCATTTGTAGGGGGAGAATCGCATCCCGAACATGCCTGCATAGTAGCTTATAGTGGTCAGAAGACTCTGAATTTTGTCAGCGTCTTCACCAAATAAAACTATGTCGTCGGCGTATTCTAAGTTAACAAACGAGCCTCCCGGTAAAAGTTAAACTCCTGGAAATTTAGATAATGAAAGTGTTATCTGTAAAAGCATGTCGACGACAAAATTAAACAAGAATGGATAGAGTGGACAGCCCTGACGAACACCACTTGTGGTAATCAGTTCTGATGACAGTTCGCCATAAGCTCTAACTCGACCAGTTGTGTTCGAGTAGAGAGAGTTTATGAGGTTAATGTACTTCTTTGGTACTCCTTTCAGCGACAAACATTGCTATAGAACCTCACGATCAATGAAGTCGAATGCTGCCTTAAGGTCGAGACATACTACGACTGTGGATAATCTGAATGTGTGTCTATGTTCTAGGACCAGAAGTAAAGTGAATATCTGATTTATACAACCACGTCCAGATCAGAAACCAGCCTGGTTTTCTCTAGTCTGCTCTTCACGAGCTTTGGTTAGGCGCCGAAGTATTATTGAAGCTAATATTTTAGACACTATATTAGTTAAACTGATCCCTCTGTGATTTTTACAAGAGGACCTTTTTCCTTTCTTATGGACTGTCACAATGAGTGATTGGGACCAGTCAGTTGGAATTATGTCTAGTTCCCAGATTCTAGCTAAGACCTCAGTCAATCTCGCTGCTGATAATGGACCGACATCCTTACAAATATCAGGGCTGCCCACACAGTGGAAGGGTATTTCTTGAGGGATCTGAAAAAGGAATTGGATTATTGTTGGTTTTAACGACCTGGGAGTGTGGCTGCAGTGCCCAAGTGACAAACGCTTGAGGTCGTTCACACACGGCCTTTTTGTGGGTAATTTTTGTGTTGGCTCCGTACTTGTTGGGACGTTCGCACACTAATGCAGATCAGACAACAGATAGGGCTGGCTATGTCTTTGGAAGGTCTTAATGTTGACGTTTGTTGTCTATCCGAGACCCGTATTCAAGACTCTAGTGAAGTACTACAAATTCACTCTCCATCTGTCGCCTCGAAAAGCTTGTTTCACGTGCGCTTATCCGGGGACCCTGTGGCATCTTCGTCTGGTCTTGCTGTCGTTGATGTCGCACTAAGCGCTAGAGCTGAGGCAGCACTAATCGACTGGATCCCCATTAACAGTCGGTTATGTGTTGTTAGATTAGAAAGTTCCATCAAAGTGAGAAGAAATCGGCGTGAGAATCGATATCTTTTCGTCATCTCCGCCTATGCCCCGACAGATTGCAGCCCGGATGCAATCAAGGATGAGTTTTACCATCAGTTAACAGTTCTTCTCCAGAAAGCGCGTTCGACAGATATTGTAGTACTAGCCGCAGACTTGAATGCACAGGTCGGGCGTCTAGGCACAGAAGAGAGTCGTTTAGGTGGCCGATAGGGACTTGTTGGTCGCAGGACAGATAACGGGGACCGTTTGCTGCAACTGTGCACAGACCACAACCTGTTTCTGGCCAGCACTAACTTCCAGCACAGTCATCGCCGGTGTGTCACCTGGCGTCCTCACTCTGCATCCCAAGCCTGGACTCAGATTGATCACATCGCGATCAGCTACCGCTGGCGTGGTTGTGTACAAGACTGCCGCTCCTTTTGGAGTGCCTATCTGGAGTCTGATCATGCCATGGTCTGCGCCAATCTCACCTTACTTTTCAGTGGCCGAAGGATTGGCCACCACCAACGGATCGATGTAAGTAAATTGGCTGCAACTTCTGTTGCAAGTAAGTATCGAGCGGAGCTAGCCTCTAGGCTAGCTACCATACCACCGAAAAGTATAGATGAGCATTGGTTGCATCTTCACGACGCCATGAAGATGGCGAGTAAAGCCGCTTGCGGCTTCGCGAAACGTCCCGCTTACAAGCACTGGGTTTCTTCTAACTCCTTACAACTGATGGAAGCCCGTCGGTCTACTCCGAGTGACCGTGAGTGTGACCACAAACGAAGGCTGTAACGTAATGAAATCGAGCAAAGCTTGCGTAAGGACCGAGAAGCCTGGTGGTCGGAGCGTGCTAATGAGATGGAAGCAGCAGCCGCATCTGGTAACTGCCGGAAGCTCTTCCAACTCATCCGAGCCACTGGCAGCAAGAAGTCTGGTGTGAGTGAAACAATCTACGAGGATGACGGGATGACAATCACTAACATCTCTCGACGTCTTGGACGATGGGCGCAATTTTTCGAAGGGCAGTTCAACCGGCCTGCTGCTCCGGCAACATCAACCATTTTGTCCTGCCCCCCATGGCCGGTGACGACTGATCCACCAAACGAGGCGGAAGTCCGCAAATAACTCCAACTCTTGAAGCGCTACAAATCACCGGGCCCAGATGACTTACCTCCGGCTCTTGTTAAAGGTGATGGCAACTTTCTGACTAAGGACTTGACTGAGTTTTTTACAAAGGTTTGGGAGCAAAAAAGTGTTTCAACATCATGGAATGAGTCGATAGTCGTCCCTATCTTTAAAAAGGGTTCACGTTGTTCCTGTGATAACTATCGGGGGATAAGTCTACTTTCGATCGCGTCCAAACTATTGGCTTCTGTCATTCTTCGTAGGTTGTTTAAAACCCGAGAACGATTGACTCGCGAGGAGCAGGCTGGTTTTCGTTCTGGTCGAGGGTGCGTTGATCACATCTTCACCCTCCGCGAAATGTTACAGCACCGTCATACTTATCGCAGGCCAACAATCGTAGTGTTTCTTGATATCAGGGCGGCCTTCGATTCGTTGGACAGGACTGTTCTCTGGGATTGTCTATTGAAGAAGGGTGTGCCTGAGAAGTTCATTAACATCTTAAAGGCCCTGTATACGAACACCTCAGGCAGAGTGAGGGCATACAACCACCTTTCTCCCTTGTTCCATTCGAGCAATGGGGTTAGGCAGGGTTGCCCGATCTCACCATTCCTCTTCAACTTTGCCATCGACGACATCCTGGAAACAGCTCTGATGGGTTTAAGTAATGGCGGTGTGGATATGTTGCCTGGAGAACGACTTCTCGACCTCGAGTATGCGGGTGACATTGTCTTACTGTGCGATAATGCCCAAGGCATGCAATCCGCACTTAATCAGTTGGCAATCAGTGTCCGCAGGTACGCCATGTGCTTTGCACCCTCCAAGTGCAAAGTACTCCTACAAGACTGGCAGGATTCTCATCCTGTACTCACCCTGGATGGTGAGGAGATCGAAGTAGTTGAGAAGTTCGTGTATCTAGGTAGCTATATAAGTGCTGGTGGTGGCGTGAGTGATGAGATTGATGCACGTATAAGGAAAGCCAGAGCGGCTTATGCCAATCTGGGCCATCTTTGGTGCCTTCGTGATGTTAGTCTGGCTGTAAAAGGTCGGATCTACAACGCGTCGGTGAGAGCAGTTTAGCTCTATGCTTGTGAAACCTGACCTCTCCGAGTTGAGGATGTTAGATGTCTCTCTGTGTTCGATCATCGTTGTCTCCGAAGGATTGCTGACATTCAGTGGCAACATCATGTTAGTAATGCAGAGGTTCGACATCGTGTGTTCGGGCGCAGAGACGATAATTTAATTGGTGTCACCATCTTGAAACACCGACTTCGGTGGCTTGGACATGTTTTACGAATGTCGTCCCAGAGAATTCCATGCCGTGCATTATTTGCCGACTCTGGGACTGGTTGGAGAAAGCGGAGAGGAGGTCAGTGTATGACATGGTGTCGTGGCATGAAAGAGAGCTGCAAAGGGCTAGCTTTTGTTGGTCCTTCAAGACTCCCTGGCTGGGGTCCGAGAGATGGTGCAACACAGTGGCTAGAGACGTTATCAGATATGGCTCAGAATAGAAGCCAGTGGCGAGCCTGCTGTAACCTTCTTCTACTTTCTTCATAAAAAGTGGCTATAACTTTCCTAACTGAGAGAGCTCTTCTGGTTGTACATTCAGTTCCCCCCATCATTACTCTTCTCCTTTTCTTTTTTTCCTTCTTTTATATATACGCATCTTCTTCCTTCTCCCATTCTCATTATTTTGTGTGGCGCATATGTATCCGGTGCCCTTTGTACCAATATATATGTGATTAAATAAATAAATAATAATAAATGTTGGGACCTTACTGCCGGAGACGGATATCAGTGGGATGAGGCGAGGTGTGCACTTTTAGGGTCGACCTTTTTCAACCACACACCTCCTTGTGGGAAGACAGCATCGTTGTTATGTTGGTTATCTGAAGGAAACACCTTACTGCCGTCACAACTCTGTACAGTCAGCAGTACGCCTTCGCCTTCGGACCTTGAGTTTGCTGCTTTTAGTCTCACCGCTCTTCAATTGACCTGTCTGGCGTGGTGGGACCTTGAAGAACGATTGTCCCAGGCAGTATAGCTCGATTGGTTCATCACGATAGGCAATCCCGACCACCACGTCAAGGTAGCAGAAACGACGTCATCACGTCATACATTAACAGGGCATCCGCTCGGTCGCAAGTTATAACAAATTAAATTATAGGAAAAATGAGAGATAAAAAGTAAATTACTTTTAATATTTAAATAATGGCCATTACATATAAATAAAAGGCTCACCAAACATATGACGTGCCAACCATCCTCTAGGTCGTCTTTGTACCATATGAGATTGTGTACTATCAAAACTAAAAGGAGGAATGAAACATTTAGATAACAAGGTATATAGTATATAGATTGAGTATTTTGACAGTAGTGAATCTAGTAATTTTTAACAACTATGCATACATGACCTTCAAAGTTCCATTGATAAAATGAGGTGAAAACAACAATCTAAGTTTCAATACACTAAAAAGCTTATTGTCAGAGTACAGAAACATGACAAGTTACTGATCGTAGTGTTACAAACTCGACACCGTCGGTTGAACTACAAAAAAAGGCGCTCTGAATTTTACGGTTTCGGTTCTTGTTCATCTGTTAGACTATTTTAAAAATATTGCAAAAATCAGCAAAAACGTGTTAAAATCACAGCAAATTTGTTAGTTAATCATCCTAACATGCTTCTCCGACTGTCATTTATCGAAGCAGAAAACTAGAAACAATATAAAAAAAATTAAGTCAAACACATTTTAATCGAACACTACAATCTGGTAAGATATATAAACACAACAATCTAGGGGTTAAATGTTAAATACTGGAGCAAAACACCTAAGAACCATAAATAATTTAACGAGTTAAGTTTATATAAACTTTAACTAACTAATATGCCGAAGAAATTAAACATATTAGAAGCTACTATCGGGAGATAAGCGTGTTCTTTGTTTTTGTGATCAGTTGATAAATCTTCGTTGAATAGGATATTACTAAGGTAACGTAGAGTTTGATACCACTAAATAACGATTCATAATTGAAAACCAGAAGGAAACAATTATGGATAATGAATTTTCCTCTTGCCAACAGTGTCACTAGATAGACTTCAAAATATACCTTCATAGCTGAAGTTAACTACCATTAGTAAAAGTTATGTACATAATATATACCATCATTACTGTTATACATATTTATGAGCAATACACTACGAAGATAAATATTACTGTAAACGAAAAAAATCACATTCTCTAGAAAAACGTCCATAGATTAACACGGAAAAGTAAATGTGAATATAATTTACTATTTTGTAACACAAGTAGATTTGATTAAACTTGAAACTTCAGTAGTGATGTAATTCTGCGTATCAATACAGAGTAAGACAAACTAAAGCTGACTGTTAAATAGCGTGGTTTTGAAGCATAAGGATAAGTAGGATGAACACCCATGAACACTGCTTGATAAATTGTTATGTCTTGTAGGTTGAACGCTATATTCGAATTCTAAGCTATTCTGATAACCCCAGGCTAGAACTATTCAACGACTTGAAGACCAGAGAGAAGACACGAGCATGAGAGAAGTACTTTACTACAAGGTTCATTTATGTACAAAAAACAGGGGTATTATAGTAATTAAAAGACCTTGAGTTTCCATAGTAGCAGTATGTTAAACAGCCAATCAGGACCTCGTTATTTTAGTAGCATAGCTTTTAACTAATCGCTGATTGGTTGGGCTCTTTATGAGCCTCTGGAGGCTCTGATAGAGTTCACTTCACCTGTGGGTCATCCTCACATAAATAACTACTGTTATAACAGGACAGGTATCGAGAAAACTGAAACTTATAGAACTATCTTATCAAGAATCGTTACTTATATTTATACTGTATGATTAACAGACATTTGGAATTTTCTCTGCTTATATATTTACTATCTGTAATCTCCCGTTTGGTTCGTAAACTACTATTGTATGCGCTACTTTTCTCGCCCAAACGTTGCAGCTACCTTGACATGGTGGTCGGGATTGCCTATCGTGATGAACCAATCGAGCTATACTGCCTGGGACAATCGTTCTTCAAGGTCCTACCACGCCAGACAGGTCAATTGAAGAGCGGTGAGACTAAAAGCAGCAAACCCAAGGTCCGAAGGCGAAGGCGTACTGCTGACTGTACAGAGTTGTGACGGCAGTAAGGTGTTTCCTTCAGATAACCAACATAACAACGATGCTGTCTTCCCACAAGGAGGTGTGTGGTTGAAAAAGGTCGACCCTAAAAGTGCACACCTCGCCTCATCCCACTGATATCCGTCTCCGGCAGTAAGGTCCCAACAAGTACGGAGCCAACACAAAAATTACCCACAAAAAGGCCGTGTGTGAACGACCTCAAGCAGTTGTCCCTTGGGCACTGCAGCTACACTCCCAGGTCGTTAAAACCAACAATAATCCAATTCCTTTTTCAGATCCCTCAAGAAATACCCTTTCACGGTGTGGGCCACCGGGAATTGGTAACCACCCTTATACCTCTAACAGCACTCAAGATCACTGTTACTGTTGATAACTTAGGAAAGTTCATCAACTTTTTCTATCACTTACAGTACAGTTATGTGCACATTATAGTTTCCTATTAATGTTGGTGAGTTCTAACGTTACTCATAGAATAGTATGGGTCGAGTCATGTAACGAAACGGCTACGCAATACAGGTCTTACCTGTTTGTTAATTACGCTTTCTGATTGGACACTAGATTCTAAGTTGCTCAAGGACCAACAGACGTTAAGATTCCAGTCGTTGTGTTATTGGTCACGGGGCCATTGGTAAGATAGGTCATCGACCCTACAGACAGATTGATTTGATGATTAATCAAACTAATCAATATTGTTGCCATAACAACGGTCGAATTACATGGGCCCCCAATATGAGAACCTGTTCTTTTTTAGGTTATAAAAGTCACTAAAGCATGTCTCAACCACAGCAGAATTATCAGCTAAAGGCTCAAAAACTTAAACTTCATATAGTTGAATAGAATTCAAATTATTTAACTTGATCTGGTTTATATAAGATATACAAGGTAGAAAAAAAGAAATTTTTGTCCATTAATTCTCTAAAAAAATTTTGAATTACTACTGGTTGACCGCTGAACCAGTGCAAATAATGTAGACAAACACATATGGTTGAACAAAACATAAAAAATACCAATTCCACACACTGAACAGTTAAATATACAGAAAGAATTATTTCTTACTTAACGTTATCATTTGAGCTAATTGCAGACGGATTATTACTTGACGACCTTCCCCAAATAGATGAAATACGCTTCATCCAAGGATCAGTATTTGTAGTTACTGAATTACCCACATTACTATATACTTGGCTAGACATTTGTAAAGCCTTCGATGACATAATCATGGAAGCCACCGTTGATTGTGGTTTATTTGGATAGACAAATGTTGATGTCAATGATAGATAAGGGGATGTTTCTTGACGATTAATAGTATTAACACTAACCAGTGCTGATGACTGTTGTGACTTTAACTTATTTCTAAAAGCTAGCCTTTCCGATTTACGTGGTCTTGCTCGTTCCATCGGAGTAATTATTGATTCATCTTGATCGTCGTGAAGCGTTAAGTTGTCGGAGCCAGATGGTTTATTATTATTTCCTAGGTCGTGTGACACCTAATAAATTGAAGAAAGTGCGTTTTTAAAAGTTAATTTAATGAAGATAAACATAGCAGATCCAAAAATTGAGTTATTTTAAAGTATAATTTCACGTATTTTTACTCATTTCAACGAGAACTATTAGTTAAACAGTTAGTCTAATGAGATGGATAAATAGGTATATCCCCTTTATTAGCTCACACCAACGTGCCTTGGCATAAAATTTAAAATTCTTAAGCCAATATACCTTCAATATCTACATACATTCTGTATCACATCAGTAATTAGAAGGGACAAATTTTAGAGTTACTTCGCTGTTGCAGTAAAGAAAGTTATGATTATCATCAAACCGACAATAATCTTTGCTCTGAAACCCCACAGATTAGACTCAATCTGGTGTTCATATAACATAATCAAGTTTTATTTGTTTTAATTTATTTCTACAATCAGATTCAACAATTCTGTGGAAACTGCTTGAAAAGATGCTTATCGATGAAATTAATGCTTGGAGTAATCTACTTCGAGATGTTGTCAACCATAATTATGAGAAAAGGGTTTCGATTTGATTAAAAAAAGGAGAACTATTATCACTAGTTGCAAACTACAGAAATACAATAGTCTGTGATTATTGCAGCGATCATCGGCTTAAACAGATAAATTAGATTAGTCATAATCAAAATGAAATTTATATTTTACCTTTATATTGAGAATTCTATGTTGTACTTTTTAGAACGAAACGGATATTGTAAACGTTGGAAATAGTTTTATCGAGTTATTAATAATCACAATATTTTCGTATGATTATTAAGTAACTAGACTATTATATATGTCTTAAGCTCTCGATTAACTTATTAACTACTGTTACACGGTTTATCATTCATAATCTGTTGTTAGTTAGATATTTATAGTCTCCCTTACTAACAGCCACTTTTGTATTGATCGTTTATAATTGTTACTTTTCAATTTATTGCATGATATGGTCTCGTATATCAGTGTACGTACTACGTCTGCTCGAAATATAATGTAGTGGAGGCTGACATCTGGTCTGAAAGGCAGGACAGAGAGAAGCTGCAGGATCATGGACCGATAAGAACCTAGATGCTGAATCAAGGTCACTAGTGCGTGTTGAACATGTAATTGACCAGTTCGGAGAGAGAAATTATGATTCTGATTGATTTTTTCATGTGATATTAGTCAGCTGTTGAAGGACATAAAAGTAATAGACATATAATACTTAATAAAGCTACTGTTTTTGTTACCAGTATTATACATGAAAATATAAATTGGAAAATATCCACCATGGTCAGCAGTACTTACTGGATATTCTCTTGTAGCTAGTTTGCGAGAACCACTCCTTTCATTTTGAAATTTTCTGGCCGTAGATCTCAGCAGTCGGGATTTAGAGCTACTTGAATTGGTGGAAGAGAAATCTGAATATCTGAATAGAAAAATTCACATTGGAAAACGTATCACTTAAATCCTCCACTTAAGGAATTAAGGGAACCTCGGAATTACCAAAATAAAAGGAAAGATTCACTGGTTGAAACGTCTAAACCTGCTATATCATAAAGCTATCTTTTTTGTGCTGACTTACAAGCAATTTTATAATAAACACTGAAATGCAGTCGAGAATATGTGTGTCGATTACAAAGATAAATATGATCGTGAAGATCATAGAGTTGTGAAAGATGTGTGACTAGTTGTGTCACCGATAGGTTTTTGTAAACTGATGAAAAATAATACAATAAAGTACATCAGTAAGTTATGGGAAAGAGGCGGTTAGCTTGAAATTGACTATTCACTCTAAGCACTCCAATTATCTAAATAATAGATACTTCGATTTATTAAAGCTAACGATAAAATTTTTATCTAATTGCATAACAAAGAGGAGTTTTAGTCTAGTTAGTTGATTTTCACCTAAGCTAGATAATTTTAATATCACAAAGTAGTCAGAAAACAATAAAACCATGCAAATGAAAATCATTTAGACCAAAAATAAAAATATCAGGATGAATTCTATTGTATCGGCTCACGATATATAGGTTGACTAAGTAATAATTCAAAACAGTAATATACCCGATGTTTGTGCTGATGGTGCCGTTCAGAAAGACGATGAAAGCTCCACGACAAAACCATCCAGCTCAAAGAACAAAAATTCATCAAAATATACAGAATAAATAACTTAAATAGTGATACTTGTATATTGTATGTAGTCAGGTTATAAGCTTCGACAGTAAAAGCCCAAAATTGAACTTATAGCAGCTCACATACAAATAAGTTTGTTCATATCTAATTTGGTTAAACCTTTTGTTAATTTATTTAACAGAAAAGGTCTTTCGCAAAATAACAATCTATCTATACTATTGTACCTTCATAATGCACGCTTGAGCAGTGCTTACAGCTACACATGTATTCATTCTGCTATCCTTACTATTATTCGCTTAATTGATTCGATGATTCATGCATTTCCATTTGTGTATATATGTACATCACTGGACTCGCTTACTCGATCAATCGATCTCTCGAGCACCTGCATTACGGCACTATTGTTTCACGCTTGCTTAACGTGCCAGTAATTTTGGATATCTATGTATGGATCAATAACTACACCTGTCATTATTCTACACTTACTGATGGTCTAAAATCCCTGTAAAAGAGGAGGGTTGCGCATGGACTTTGCGACTCGTACGTAGAAAAACTAACTCGCTAAAAAAAACTTACTTCCTTACGCCTGTTACCCCCTGTGGAGGAGCGTAGGCTGCACACCAGCATTCTCCATCCAACCCTGTCCTGGGCAGTTCTTTCCAGTTGTTATTCATCCTTTTCATATCTACTTCTATTTCCCGACGTAATGTGTTCTTTAGCCTTCCTCTTTTACGCTTCCCTTCCGGATTCCAAGTTAGGAATTGCCTCGTGATGCAGTTTGGTGATTTCCTCAATGTATGCCCTATCCACTTCCAACGTCTTTTCCTAATTTCCTCTTCAGCTAGAAGCCGGTTTGTCCTCTCCCATAAAACACTGTTGCTGATAGTATCCGGTCAGTGAATGTTGAGTACTTTGCGTAAACAACTGTTTATAAATACTTGTACATTCTTGACGATGGTTGCAGTAGTTCTCCACGTTTCATCTCCATACAGTAGGACTGTCTTGACGTTCGCATTGAAGTTTATAACTTTGAAGTTAGTTGTTTTGAGTTAAATATCTTCTTCAATCGTAAGAATGTGGCCCTTGCTTTTCCAATTCTCGTCTTTACATCTGCATCCGATCCTCCCTGTTTATCAATTATGCTTCCCAGGGACGTGAATGTTTCCACCTCTTACAGAGTTTCGCCATCAAGTGTGATTGGGTTGGTGTTCTCTGTGTTGTACTTGAGAATCCTGCTTTTTCCTTTGTGTATGTTGAGGCCTATTGACGCAGACGCTACTGCTACATTAATTGTCTTCGTCTGTATTTGTTCGTGTGTATGAAATAGGAGGGCTAGGTTATCTGCGAAGTCCAAATCGTCTAATTGGTTCTGAGATGTCCATTGTATTCCGTGCTTCCCTCACATGTCGAAGTCTTTATAATTCAGTCAATCACCAGAAAAAAGTGGTAGGGGGAGAGGAGACAGCCTTGTCTGACTCCGGTCCTTACTGGAAATGCATCTGTCAGCTGTCCTCCATGAACGACTCTGCGCTGTAGTCCGTCGTATGAATTCTGGATAATGTTGACAATCTTCTGAGGAAGAAGTTTCCATAATGTTCTCCGGTCCACACTGTCAAACGCCTTCTCATAGTCAATGAAGTTGATGTATAGTGACGAATTCCACATAACTGATTGTTCAACGATGACCCGTAGTGTCGTAATTTGGTCGGTGAACGACCGGTCCTTACGGAATCCAGCCTGTTGATCCCTAAGTTCGGCGTCTACTGCGTCTTTCATCCGATTCAGCAGCACTCTGTTGAAGACTTTTCCTGGTACTGATAACAAACTGATGCCTCTGTAGTTCTCGCATTTGCTTAGATCTCCTTTCTTTGGTATCTTGATGAGATATCCTTCTTTCCAGTCCATTGGCACTTGTTCCTCTTCCCAAATCTTCTTGAATAGAAGGTGAAGCATGTTTGCAGTTATTTCAATGTCTGACTTCAGTGCTTCAGCTGGTATATTATCAGGTCCTGCCGCTTTCCCGCTCTTGATTTGTCTGATGGCCATCCCGACTTCCGTAGTTGGTAGAGTGAAAGACATAGGAAGGTCAGTGTGTGCTGCTTCGATGTCTAGTGGATTCAATGGAGCTGGCCTATTCAGCAGTTCCTCGAAGTAGTCTTCCCATCTTTTCCTCTGTTCTTGAATCTCCGTGATTGTCTTTCCTTATTTGTCCTTAATTGGTCTCTCCGGTTTGCTATATCTCCCTGCCAGTTTCTTCGTTGTATCATATAGTTGTTTCATATTCCCTTCTCTTGCAGCTTTTTCCGCCGTTGTTGCTAGTTCTCCCACGTATTTATGCTTGTCGGCTTTAATGTTTTTCTTCACTTCCCTGTTTGCTTCTGCGTAGTCTGCTTGTGCCTTGACTTTCTCTGCTCGTATTCGACTGTTGCTAACTGCTATCTTCTTGTTCTTCCTTTCTTCAATCTTGTTCATGGTTCCCATAGTAATCCATTCCTTATGATGATGCTTCTTATGACCCAGAACCACCTGACACGTTGAAGTTAGTGCTTCTTTGATCCCTTTTCAGTTGTCCTCCATCGTAGTTTCTTGTTCTTCCAGTAGATCCTCTAGATCTTGGAACCTGTTGTTGAGAGTTATCCTGAATTTGTTGAGTTTGCTAGCATCTCGAAGGAAGGCTGTATTGAACCTTTGTAATGCTGTTTGTCCAGTTGTCCAGTGTTTCTTTAGCTTCAACCTCATCTTGGCCACAACCAGGTGGTGATCTGAAGCTATGTCAGCTCCTCTCCTGGTTCTCACATCTTCCATTGACCTTCGGAATTTTTTGTTGATACAAATATGATCTATCTGGTTCTCTGTGATGTGGTCCGGCGAGATCCATGTAGCTTTGTGTATGCGCTTGTGTGGGAATATTGTGCCGCCTATAACGAATTTGTTGAATGCACATAGGTTTGCAAGTCTCTCCCCATTTTCATTTCTCTCTCCTAGTCCATGTCATCCAGTTATATCTTCATATCCTGTGTTGTCCACTCCGACTTTAGCGTTTAGATCTCCCATCAGGATTGTGAAGTTCTTTCTTGAGCATTTAGCTATGATTGATTTATAAACAGTTGTTTACGCAAAGTACTCAACATTTACTGACCGGATACTATCAGCAACAGTTTTTTATGGGAGAGGACAAACCGGCTTCTAGCTGAAGAGGAAATTAGGAAAAGACGTTGGAAATGGATAGGGCATACATTGAGGAAATCACCAAACTGCATCACGAGGCAATTCCTAACTTGGAATCCGGAAGGGAAGCGTAAAAGAGGAAGGCTAAAGAACACATTACGTCGGGAAATAGAAGTAGATATGAAAAGGATGAATAACAACTGGAAAGAACTGCCCAGGACAGGGTTGGATGGAGAATGCTGGTGTGCAGCCTACGCTCCTCCACAGGGGGTAACAGGCGTAATTAGTTAAGTAAATGTGTGGTTCAATAATAAACGCAATCAACACTTCGTATTCGCCTTCTAATCTATACAGCGTTGGGGCGTTATCGAGTAACGGTTGTCAGGACGAACCATATACGAAGTTTCAGGATAATATCGAATATGGACCACAACAAACTTATGAATTCATTAGGAACATTAAGAGTAATTCGAACCTAGCGTTATTAATTAACAATGTTTGCAATGAAATAATTTTGATAGGTAATAATATAAACGTCTAATGAAGTATAAAAACTGCAAGTTATTTTAGGATCGACAAGTTTATTTGTTCAATTATTAAGTACGATGACATGGTGTGAATATCCCATGAGCGAAATCGCTGTATTTTAAAATATCCCAATAAAATGAAATTTGAAACAATGTGCTGAGGCGACTGTCAGATGATAAAACATATTGTTATCTTTTTTACAATAACATCAAATTAACCATACAGTCATGGAAATCGACGGTCACCATAAATGTTGTCGTTTTCATAACTGGGTATTATTCCTAGTCTTTTTCTGTAATCGTGGTGCTTCGGTTGTAAGTGAGTTCACATGATCAAGATAAAATAAATACATGAACTGATTAGCATATGTTATACAAATAGATCAATGCGACTATTACTGATTGTTGTCTCATCTATGCATCTGGTATAATTTTTCTAACCTTGAATCAAACATTTAATGAAGAGAAATAGTGTAAAAAATCACACACATTTCCAATGTGTAAATTTAATGAGTACAGTTGTATCCTTCGTAATGGATTGGACAAGTGCGATTACAGTCTAGTGAATATATATATATATATATATATATATATATATATATTACTGTTTTGTTGCAAGGATTAAGAACCGTATACAATAGAAGTTCTGTTGAGTGAAATTTTGATGGAGGAATAAGTTTTAGAACCACCTATTTTACAAATCTACTTTATTTGAGATAGATTTTTGAAATCCTTGTCTTTTTTTGACTAATGAAGAACTCGATGGTTGTTCCAACTAAAAAGGTGTTTTCTCGTCGCAATGACAATGAATCTCGATGATAAATAGAATTGTATGTTGTGTCAAGTTCAAGCTAACTCAATGATTTATTATTCATAAGCTTTACAAAGGTGTACTCCATACGTTTGTCAGTTATTCAGTTGTAAAAAAGACAGTAACTAATGTAAATAATTGATTGAACAAATGAATAGTTAAAAAGTAAAATGAATACATCACAATATCCAATTACCTGCTATTCATACCCTCTTCAATATTTTCTGAACTACTTGTTCGTATTATGGTTGAACTTTCAACTTTTGATGATAGACGACCTAACATGGGATGCATATTGCGAGTTTTTGGAGCCGTTAAACGATTCGACAATTCCAAGGATGAATTAAATTCTACAAAAAGTGATATATTTCACAAAATTTATGATCATATACTATAAATATCCAAATGAATAATTTCAATGTCGATTCAGAATAATAAACGATATACATACAGTTCAATAATAATAATAATACACCTATCTTCAGCGATCGATAAATTAATAATGATTAAATTTAATTATATAATTGTAGAGGTCAGCCTGCATGTACATTTGTAGCAATGTATAAGGAAACGGATATGTAAAAAGGCATTGAGCTTGGTAATGTGTATGTGTAGTCATAAATATATGCATCATGTAACTACATGGCTATGCTAAATACTGAAAATTATTTATATTTGTGTTTCTCAACGAATAAGCATATAAAAACAAAACAGAAACATGACTTGTGAATATGTTATTCTCTTTTATGTGTTTTATTCACAATAGTTCAATTAAAAATACAAGTTGAACGTGAAAAGAAAAGAAAGATGTAAACAAAGGATGAATGATTCATAAGAGAGTATAGCATACACCTGAGTAAGAATTTTAGTGAATTTAAAAAAATTACATGCCATATAGACGCACGTGATAAAAATCACGACAGACTAAGTATACTTGTATACAATGAAAAGAAAAAATGAAAGAACTAAAGAACGAATCGGCTAGTTTGAAACATAATAAACATAACTACTTTGTGGAGCCAATCAACAACCTGGTCAGAATAACAAACACACACCTGGAATTGTAGGAAAAGTAAAATAAATCAGTCGGTCAATAAGAGATATTCTATGTAAAAACATGACACAAGTGTTTATCAGTCCACGTTGCCACGCCATACTAACAACAAGAGAAGTAGCAAAATAGTAGAGGTAAGGAAAGACTAAAAACAAGAGATAATATTATGAGGAATAACAGAGATAAAATAATTAAAAACTTTGGATTAAAAGAAGGCAAAAGAATTTATCCAATCGCGATTCTGTGACCGATTCTAAGCTACCATTCAATTCCACCAACTACTAATCGTGGTAGTTGAGCGGACATCAACAACGTAGTCTGAACATACCGACAGGTCTCAATCCAACAGTATTTAGTGAAATAAAGCTTACGAATTCTCCAAGGTACAGAAGATACTATCAATCTCATGACATCTCGATCTTGCATAAGAAGTAAAAGATAAATTATCACAAAGATAAAATACAATAAATTGGAGGGAGCTAAAATAATGATAATAACTCATACGGTAATGGAACAGACACAAAAATTACAAGTGACAAAAATAATTATCTACTTTGAATTAGAGTAATAAGAGAAATTTGACAAATAAATAGAAGTATTATAATATGAAAGACAAAGAACACACGAAGCAAAGTCCTTACATATTCCTAGTACTATCAACAATGAGCCAGTGTTTACAATTTTTTGTGCCTTTATACACTGTAAGAATAATGTAAAATTAGCATATAAAATCCAGATTAATGAAATCCCGGACTATACAGCAAAACAAGGCATCTCTCGCTTTATAACAGCTCTCTCGTTTTCTTTGAACTTTATAAGATAAACAGAAAATATTAGTTAATATTTAATCAAGTTTTTAACTTATCAAATCAAAGGTTATTGAACACTTCAAAATAACCTTGTATTAACTGCTTTTGTATCCCCGCAATACTTGACCACATGATATCAGGTAGACGTTAATGTTAGATTTAAAAACTAGAAATTTAATCTGCTATCAGTAGATAAGATAAATTGGTTCATGACAATAGATAAGATAAGAGAGAGGGAGACAAACAAAAGGAATTTAACTAACTTGATGATCCTAAAGGGAGGCGAGACATATTCGGTGATATCCAAGTATCGTGTAGTCGATCCGTACGATAACTGCCACTAATTTTGAGATAAAAGCAAGACAGTAGAAATAGTTACATTTGTTGAATTATATATGTCGAAACGAAAAAACAATATCGGCAGAAAAATATAATGTACTGTTATGGTTCCTATATAATCTCTTTATATGTGAAGTTCTTCCTGAAATTTTCTGATACAAGTATCACTGAATAAGTATTTATGGCAAATCTGATAATCTTTATAATATAATATATTGATCGTTTAGTTATATATTCATAATATCCGAAAATGTTATTCGACTAAAACTACTCCAATAATATATATTATTAATACATTCCTGAAACTATGAACATCATCTTGTGAAAGCCTCCCCAGGAAGAGCAACAGATTAGATCATAAAAACTGTAGGGCTAGTGGGTAAAATACTTAAAAATAATCTCAAGTGATTATAGTTTAAGCACGAAAACATATTTACAAGAGAATATGAAAAGGAATTTTCTTGATCGATTGTTCTTGCTTGTTTTTTTATGTGAAAATATAACAAGAACAACGAGTGTCCTGGTATTAACTCAATTCATTTCATATCCAGTGCTCTAATTCCTGATTTATATAAGTGACATGTTTAGCGAGTAAACTATTTGCACGATAAACCGTAAACTTATTTTAATCATTGACTTTCATTTGGCGTATTTTTAAGCAAATGATTTACAAAACCTAACGCTCGTCGTGGTAATCGGTGGTTGGGCATGCGTAATACGTTATCCAACCATCTCAGTCGATGAAGATCCTTAATCTCATCAACTGATTTACCACTATTCTCTAATACCCTGCGTCTAACCTCACTATTACTTACGTGGTGATCCCAGCAGATGCGAGCAATATTTCCAAGACATCTGTGATCAGATACTAGTAACTTACGAGAATCTTCTACCCTCAATAGCCACTTTTCGCAGCCGTAAGGTAGAATAGATCGAACTGCCGCACAGTATACTCGTCCCTTAATCGATAGACGGATATCTCTTCTTCGCCATAGGTGACGTAAGTTGGCAAAAGTCAAACGAGCTTTCTAAATCCGTGGTGGGATTTCGTCAGACACCAACTCACTAGGACTGATTACACTTCCAGTCCAGTTCTGGAGTAACAATTTGCATTTAGAGGGGGGGGAACGCATTCCAAATATCCTGGCATTGTTGCTCAATACTACCAAAATACTGCATTTCATCAGCGTCTTCACCAAACAGGACTATGTCATCTGCGTATTCTAAGTCGATAAGTGAATCTCCCGGTAGGAGATCAATTCCTGAAAATCCAGTCGACGAGAGTGTTATTTCCATCAATAAGTCTATGATGAAGTTAAACAAAAATGGAGACAGCCTTGTCGGACACTACTTGAGGTTGTGAAATCAGATGACAGTTCGCCGTAAGCTCTCACTCGACTGGTAGTGTTCGAGTAAAGAGCCTTCACAAGGTTTATGTACCTCTGAGGTACACCTTTCAATGACAGACACCGTCACAGAACCTCTCGGTCTATAGAGTCAAATGATGCTTCCATGTCAAGAAAAACCATCATTGCCAAACGCCGATAAGCATGCCTGTGTTCTAGAACCTGACGAATAGTGAATATGTGGTCGATACAGCCACGACCAGATCTGAAGCAAACCAAGTTTTCCCGCCTTTGCGATTCGTGAGTCTTAGTTATGCGCCCGATAATTATTGAGGCTTGTATTTTAGATGCTATATTAGTCAAACTAATCGATCTATGGTTATTACAGGGTGATATTGACCCCTTCCTATATATTGGGACAATCAGTGATTGTGACCAGTCGGATGGGTTTACATGCGACTACCAGATTTGAGCTAAAATATTAGTTAACCTGAAAAATCGTTACCTTCTTTAAGATATACATTAATGTATCCATGATCATAATTCGAAATGCAACAGGAATTTTACAAGGTGCAAGTAGGTTATATACAGTTCAACGATAAATTTTGCGGATAAATAATGCATGATATTTTTCAATAAAAGTACATAGAAACCAATACAATCACAATAAGACCAATTTTAAATAGTTGATAGGTATCAATACCAAGATTGGACTTGATAATCTCAAATAAATTGAACACACACACGGACACACAATCTAAACTCACTACTCCAGATCCCAAAAGCGTACGTTTTTCATACCCATATTCCGACACAAATTAATACATTGACAGGCCGTACAAATTCACCATGACCAAAAATGACTTGATATTGACATATCCAAACCTATTATGATTGTACTAGAAATGTTTTGCATCGTTTCCTTTGTACTACTTAGACTTATGTTAATTTAATGTCAGTTATTCATTTGCTCAGAAGAACTGCCTTACATAAGGTCATTAAAAGTCAGAAATACAATTTTTCTATTCGTTAGGGCATAACAAAAATATATTTATTATTTTAAATAGTTCGGTTTTAAACCAGTATATCTACAATTATCAACTACATTTACTAATCAAATAAAACAACCTAACCAATGTTAGCAATGTATTATTCCGTTACGAATGTCCATTAATGTTAGCATTTTATGTTAGTTGAATTACTTTCGTCTTTGCAGATGATCTGGCTCTTCTATCACATACGCAACAACAAATGCAGGAGAAGACGATCAGTGTAGCAGTAGCCTCAGCAGCAGTAGGTCTCAATATAAACAAGGAGAAAAGTAAGATTCTCCTATACAACAAAGCATGCACCAATGGAATTACACTTGACGGAGAAGCTTGGGAGGATGTGAAAATCTTTACATATCTAGGCAGCGTCATCGGTGGGTCTGATGCAGATGTGAAGACATGGATTGGCAAAACAAGAGAAGCATATTTACAACTGAAGAACATCTGGAACTCAAAACTATTGTCAACCAACACCAAGATCAGAATTTTCAATACAAATGTCAAGACAGTTCTACTGCACGGGGCGGAAACTTGGAGAGCTACGAAAGCGATCGTCCAGAAGATACAGGTATTTATTAACAGTTGTCTACGCAAGATACTTCGGATCCGTTGGCCAGAAACTATCAGCAACAAGTTACTGTGGGAGACAACAGACCATATTCCAGTGGAGGAAGAAATCAGGATAGGACACACATTGAGGAAATCACATAACTGAGTCACAAGACAAGCCCTCACATGGAATCCCGAAGGCCGAAGGAAAAGAGGAAGACCAAAGAACACATTACGCTGAGAAATAGAGACAGACATGAGAAGAATGAACAAGAACTGGAAAGAACTAGAAAAGAAGACACAGGACACAATGGGTTGGAGAATGCTGGTCGGCGGCCTATTCTCAATTGGGAGTAACAGGCGTAAGTGGTTACATAACTGCACAGCATGAGACTGAGAAAACAAACGAAAACAAATGGTTTAAGTCAATATTCATGTATACAGTGATGTGTGCCAAGCTTTAGAAAAAACATGTGTTGTGCTTAAAACCTAACAGACCTTGTGACCTATCTAATAGTAGAAGAATGAGTATGTTAGGCCAATGTCATGTTTACCCATTATTTATTTTAAATTCACACCCTAAAGATTAATGAAGTGGTTGAATATGCTAACATCATGAATTATTTTCAACGAAATAAGGAACAAATCGTTGTGAACGAAAAAATGGTTTCATAGGGAAAAGTTCTGAAATTTGTTGTTGTTTACAACGACATCAACAACTACTACATGACTGAAACGTTTATTATTTATTCGTAGGTGAAAGAAACTTCAATCAATAAGTACTGAGTAGTCTGATTACCAAGTAGCAGCGGCGATCATGATGGTTATGACTGAACTCTGTCATTAATCAAGAAAGAAAAAAATAGCTACTAAAATGAACAACATACCAGCGAAATCCGTTGTATTTACTGATAAACTCCAGTAGGTACTTAACCAGAAAGGCATATAAAAGTGGTTTTTTAGATAAAAATTATGCATCCTTTGAAATTCGGACGACAGACATTTTTCAGCCCTGTAGTCAGACACGTTACAACTTATATGAGCAGCAAGTGACTCTCCAAAGTTGGGATAAAGGTATTAAACTGATTAGCAAACAAAGAAAATCTGAGTTTGATGAAAACGATTTAAATGCGATACATGACAATACATAAAGAGTAAAACCAATAACGATGAATATTAGCAAACATGACTGGTACAGTTCAATGGAAGGAAATCAAAGTTCTCATGGATACTGCTACACAGTTGTAAAACTGAATACTCTAAGCAAGCGTACTTTTTGTACAAATTGATCAGGTGAACTTCATTATTTTTTTTCACATAAATCAAATAGTTATAGGAATACAAAAAATTATAGAAGAAAAACACATGTGACAACACGTCTACTGATAATTCTTACGAAACATAAAAAACCGATGCAAATTGTAGAGCGGCGGACAGTTACTTCTTTACCGTTTTAAGCTTGTCACAGAATATTTGCAAACTGTCCACAACAGACAGAACTTACAAATTTTACATACAGGAAAAATCATTTACTGTTAAATATTCATCAAAATATAGTGTGAGTTAAATCATAAATGAATAAGAGAAGGCAATAATAAACCGTGTGACCTAATGTTAAGTAAATTATACCATTTTTCCAAAGAAATATGAATACGCCAATCGATACTTCAACCGCTATATCGTTTTCATTTATACTGGTTGAACCTGGGCTAAGGAAGTGTGATAGGTTGGACAAATCGTTTCTGCACGCAAAATTCAGGCTTGAGTTCATGGATTACCAATGCCTCAACAGTGCATAGAATATTGATTCGACTCCCCTTTGATCCGGTTCCTTTGACTCTATAGATTACTTTAAAAGACGAGTCTTTTGGAGCAATGTGTCCACAGTTGATCAAATGCTCTTGTATCGAACTGGTTATCTTTTTACATTCTCCTTTTTGGAGCCAAGCCGGATAGTGTCCGAGATGCGTTTGGAAAGTGATCGCTTTGTACACCCTAGGTAGCGTGCCCAACATGAGCAAGTAAATTTATAGATACACATCGATTTGGCCCAAAGCGAAAGTTTATCCTTAACACACACACCGAATGGTAGGCCGTCTAGAGAAAACGATTTCAAGCTTGACTGTGTAGGAAGTTTTATTCAACGATTTGAAAATCCGTTCATTTAAGATTTTAGCAGCCGTGTCTCCTTTAAATTTCATATTCATAAACAAAGTTTTCTTCTGTACTATTGAAGCTTTTTCATCATGAAGTCTAGGTGTTAAGTTGCTATCGACGAACCTAAGTGGCTAACCATTTCTGATGAGGGTCTGTAGAAGATGAAGTAGTTCTTCATTTATTGTATCATTGGAACAGATTCGCTTGATCCTAGAGGATAAAGAGTGAATTAAGTTCTTCTTTCGACTCAGTGGAACCCAACTATGGAAATTCGTGTATTGTCTATTTCAAGTAGGTTTTCTATATATAGATCTTTGTAAATAACCATAACGCATTCTTTTCAAACGGACATCAAGAAAATTGAATTGACGGGTGACAATTATTGAAAATATTTAAGATTTTATTGTGGTCCATGTCATCTTCACAAATAATGAAAGTATCATCCATATATCTCTTATATAAATGAAATTTCTCAATTATTGGTCGAAGTACAAAATTTTCTAGATTGGCCATGAAACAATCAGCCAAGAGAGGACCCAATGGAGAGCCCATTGCAACTGCGTCTGGTTGTCTATAGAAAACATCATTAAATTTAAATTGCACGTTAAGCGTACATCGTAGAAGTAGTTCTTTAAGATAATGTTTTGGGATACACATATCCAGATTATTGTTTTCAATACAGTCATATAAAAAACAAATAGTTTCTGTGAGAGGAACATTTGTAAACAGCGAAGTGACATCTAATGAGAAAATTGTATTGGGCCACATAGATGTGTATCTATAAATTTACTTGCTCATGTGGGGCACGTTACTTAGGCTGTACAAAGCGATCACTTTCCAAACGCATCTCGGACACTATCCGGCTTGGCTCCAAAAAGGAGAATGTAAAAAGATAACCAGTTCGATACAAGAGCATTTGATCAACTGTGGACACATTGCTCCAAAAGACTCGTCTTTTAAAGTAATCTATAGAGTCAAAGGAACCGGATCAAAGGGGAGTCGAATCAATATTCTATGCACTGTTGAGGCATTGGTAATCCATGAACTCAAGCCTGAATTTTGCGTGCAGAAACGATTTGTCCAACCTATCACACTTCCTTAGCCCAGGTTCAACCAGTATAAATGAAAACGACATAGCGGTTGAAGTATTGATTCGCTTATCTGATAGTAAACTTAGTTTTTGATGTTGGTTTGTTCTCTGAGCTGGATGGTTTGGTCGTGGAGCTTTCATCGTCCTTCTGAACGACATCATCAGCACAAACTTCGGGTAGAATTGAAGTGTTTGAATTTCCTCACAGCTTGTCCTCTGCACCTCGAACTTAGTGATAACAGAACAAATGTTACGCTTCCTATTCGAGTTAAATATGAATACATTATTTTAATCCTATGTATAAACAGGAAGTATCAAATATGGATTTGGATACAAGATAGACTTCTTTTTGAAAATATGAATTATTTGTTGAGTAATCTTTAAACTGTCAGTCAGTTGTACTATGGATATTGGCCAGGTAATAAGAGACAGGTTTCTGCAATAAAATATGAACTATGACCGATCCTCAAGGCTAAATGACAGTGAGACTGATTTTGTAAAAAAAAATAGATGAATAATGAAAGAATTTTTAATTTAAATGGATGTAAGAATTTGGGGCGAGGAAGACTTTGTGACAAGATGACTAGTAACGGTGCTTATTTTTCACAAATATTAAGGGATCAAAAGTATCAGCCGTAAAAGAATTATCCTTTATAGCTTTGCCATATCATTTTGCAAAAAACAGAAAACACTGAAAAACAATTAAATATAACTAGTGCCTCTTACATTTTCACATAAAACGAACGAAATTATCTAACTGAAAGAGACGGATAATTCAGATTTAGACGTAAACTGCTATTAAGTTTAAGCATCTCTCAAAATCAACCTATGGAATATATTTTAGTAGAACAACCATTGACAGGATGATCCAATTCATTTTTACGTTAAGGAAAGAACATAAAAGGCAGAAATACGTTTTGCATTAATTTACAAATGTACAATAAATAGTCACTGTGAAGAAAATATGCGTAGATTATCTTCGAAGCATATTATATCGAATGCGTAAATAACAATAATCCAATATACGAAGTACTGAACAAAGACTGCAAATTAGACCATGAAGCTGTAAATTATAATTGAGATGGTTAAAATGTATTATACAGAATCAATTACCACCAACTCCAAAGTGCTGCAATGACAAAGACAGGAGTGAGTCGAAATTCAAAAGATGGACGAACTAAGAAGAAAAATGTCAATTCACTAATTCATGGACTCAATTTCAAAAGTTGCTGTAGGATACAAGAAAGGACTGATTGGCGTTTATATGTTCAAACCATCGGACATCTCATCAGCTTCAAATCTCACACAAATAGCGAGATTTTACGCGCACGAGAGGGATGTTTGTCATGTAGTCTGGAAACCATGTGCCTCGGGTTATACAGACAACCCAA